CATTTTGCTCGCCTCATATTTCTCTCTCATTTACATTTATATTGGTGATTTCCAAATTGATAAATAAAAGCTCACATGAAGAGCCTTACAGGCTATGCAATGGAGCAATAAGGTCATAGAGAGAAAAGAGCATGTAATTTTAAAAGGTTTTTATGTGGTATATGGGATGTAATGATGGTTCTTTAAAATTACTTATTGGAAAAATTCTAGACTGCAAAGGATTAAATCTGATCTTAAAGTGTGGTTTTACTCTGAAAAAAAAAAAAAACAATGTAAAAATGCCACCTCTGTACTCAACAGATCTGTTCCTTGGGTGTATATGATCCCAAGTCCTCTTTGTTTACTACATTGCCAAAAATAAGTTTCTTCTGCTTTTTTACCCCAGTTAGCTCGGCAGCTAAGCAAGAACCAGCTGGATTTTAGTTCCCCTTTTATATCAAGAGAATTCTTTATTAATTGTTTGTGTTCTCTCTCTCAGGATACATCATCAACAGACAAAAAAACCCCAACAACAACCGTGCGACAGTAAGTCTCAGAGCCTGGGTGAACTGACTTGGGCTTGCACTGCAGAGCTAAAAATGGCTCAGGCTGGAGACCAGGCTCTGAAACTGCGGGAGGGGGAGAGGATGGGTCTTGCAGACCAGGTTCCAGCCTGAGCCCAAACATCTACACTGCTGTTTTTAGTCCCTCAGTGAGAGCCCGAGTCAGTTCACCCCGGCGCTGAGACTTGCTGCTGCTATGTTTTGGTTTTGCTGTGTAGATGCACCCTCAGAGACCAAAAATACAAAAGGCCAGATTTTTAAAGGTATTTTAGCCCTTCAAGATGCAGATAGGTGCATAAGCACATCTGAAAATCCCACTAGGCACCTATGTACATCTTTAGGCACCTAAATACCTTTGAAAATCTAGCCCAAAGCCACTTAAGAGCCATTCCATTTACTCCTGTTCCCGTCTTCAGGCAATAATGCCTAATAGTCTATAGTATCAAAGACAGTTAGTTAGTAGGTAGAGCTAGTAAGAGCAGCAGACACACCTGATCATCATTACTTGTAATGATGCAAGAGAAGGAAAGATCCTAGCTTGACTCTCGGATCCCAAGCTAAATTGGCACTTAGAAAAATATTCTTTTCATGTGTAATCCATGCACACTCAATATGGAAATCACTGACACACAGTGTACATAGCACACCGCAGTGGCATTTTACAATCACTTTTCAGAGTAGAAGTGAATTTTAAACATACGTGTCTTTAAATACTTATCTCAGAGTTCTGCAGCCTTCAGTTTCTGAAGGCTCTCATGGTCTCCACCAGCATGGCCTTGGGAAATAATGACAGGTTTCAGAGGAACAGCCGTGTTAGTCTGTATTCGCAAAAAGAAAAGGAGTACTTGTGGCACCTTAGAGACTAACCAATTTATTTGAGCATGAGCTTTCGTGAGCTACAGCTCACTTCATCAGATGCATACCGTGGAAACTGCAGCAGACTTTATATACACACAGAGAATATGAAACAATACCTCCTCCCACCCCACTGTCCTGCTGGTAATAGCTTATCTAAAGTGATCAACAGGTGGGCCATTTCCAGCACAAATCCAGGTTTTCTCACCCTCCACCCCCCCACACAAATTCACTCTCCTGCTGGTGCTAGCCCATCCAAAGTGACAACTCTTTACATAATCAAGTCGGGCTATTTCCTGCATAGATCCAGGTTTTCTCACATCCCCCCCACCCCCATACACACACAAACTCACTCTCCTGCTGGTAATAGCTCATCTAAACTGACCACTCTCCAAGTTTAAATCCAAGTTAAACCAGAACATCTGGGGGGGGGTAGGAAAAAACAAGAGGAAACAGGCTACCTTGCATAATGACTTAGCCACTCCCAGTCTCTATTTAAGCCTAAATTAATAGTATCCAATTTGCAAATGAATTCCAATTCAGCAGTTTCTCGCTGGAGTCTGGATTTGAAGTTTTTTTGTTTTAAGATCGCGACCTTCATGTCTGTGATTGCGTGACCAGAGAGATTGAAGTGTTCTCCGACTGGTTTATGAATGTTATAATTCTTGACATCTGATTTGTGTCCATTTATTCTTTTACGTAGAGACTGTCCAGTTTGACCAATGTACATGGCAGAGGGGCATTGCTGGCATATGATGGCATATATCACATTGGTGGATGTGCAGGTGAACGAACCTCTGATAGTGTGGCTGATGTTATTAGGCCCTGTGATGGTGTCCCCTGAATAGATATGTGGGCACAATTGGCAACGGGCTTTGTTGCAAGGATAAGTTCCTGGGTTAGTGGGCCTGTCCTGTAGTAGGTAACTTCTGGGAACTCTTCTGGCTCTATCAATCTGTTTCTTTACTTCTGCAGGTGGGTATTGTAGTTGTAAGAAAGCTTGACAGAGATCTTGTAGGTGTTTGTCTCTGTCTGAGGGGTTGGAGCAAATGCGGTTGTATCGCAGAGCTTGGCTGTAGACGATGGATCGTGTGGTGTGGTCAGGGTGAAAGCTGGAGGCATGCAGGTAGGAATAGCGGTCAGTAGGTTTCCGGTATAGGGTGGTGTTTATGTGGCCATTGTTTATTAGCACTGTAGTGTCCAGGAAGTGGATCTCTTGTGTGGACTGGACCAGGCTGAGGTTGGTGGTGGGATGGAAATTGTTGAAATCATGGTGGAATTCCTCAAGGGCTTCTTTTCCATGGGTCCAGATGATGAAGATGTCATCAATATAGCGCAAGTAGAGTAGGGGCTTTAGGGGACGAGAGCTGAGGAAGCATTGTTCTAAATCAGCCATAAAAATGTTGGCATACTGTGGGGCCATGCGGGTACCCATAGCAGTGCCGCTGATCTGAAGGTATACATTGTCCCCAAATGTGAAATAGTTATGGGTAAGGACAAAGTCACAAAGTTCAGCCACCAGGTTAGCCGTGACACCACATACCACACAACAGAACCACTAACCCAGGAACTTATCCTTGCAACAAAGCCCGTTGCCAATTGTGCCCACATATCTATTCAGGGGACACCATCACAGGGCCTAATAACATCAGCCACACTATCAGAGGCTCGTTCACCTGCACATCCACCAATGTGATATGTGCCAGCAATGCCCCTCTGCCATGTACATTGGTCAAACTGGACAGTCTCTACGTAAAAGAATAAATGGACACAAATCAGATGTCAAGAATTATAACATTCATAAACCAGTCGGAGAACACTTCAATCTCTCTGGTCACGCAATCACAGACATGAAGGTCGCGATCTTAAAACAAAAAAACTTCAAATCCAGACTCCAGCGAGAAACTGCTGAATTGGAATTCATTTGCAAATTGGATACTATTAATTTAGGCTTAAATAGAGACTGGGAGCGGCTAAGTCATTATGCAAGGTAGCCTGTTTCCTCTTGTTTTTTCCTACCCCCCCCCCCCAGATGTTCTGGTTTAACTTGGATTTAAACGTGGAGAGTGGTCAGTTTAGATGAGCTATTACCAGCAGGAGAGTGAGTTTGTGTGTGTATGGGGGTGGGGGGGATGTGAGAAAACCTGGATCTATGCAGGAAATAGCCCGACTTGATTATGTAAAGAGTTGTCACTTTGGATGGGCTAGCACCAGCAGGAGAGTGAATTTGTGTGGGGGGGTGGAGGGTGAGAAAACCTGGATTTGTGCTGGAAATGGCCCACCTGTTGATCACTTTAGATAAGCTATTACCAGCAGGACAGTGGGGTGGGAGGAGGTATTGTTTCATATTCTCTGTGTGTATATAAAGTCTGCTGCAGTTTCCACGGTATGCATCTGATGAAGTGAGCTGTAGCTCACGAAAGCTCATGCTCAAATAAATTGGTTAGTCTCTAAGGTGCCACAAGTACTCCTTTTCTTTTTGGGAAATAATGCATCAGAGCATACTTTGGGAAGTGAAGTGTGCATATTTATTTGTACAGCTTTCAAGCTCTCCTCATTTTGTAGTGAAATCCATTACTGATAAGGTTTCTAAAGCAGAGTGTGATGGGCCACACCACTCACCACTAGTCTGGCACCTCCTCCTGGGTGCTCTGGGGATTAGCTCATCAGGTCAATGCCCATCACCACGGTCGTACCCAGTCACACTCCCTCTCTCTCAGGTCTGCAGCTCCTCTCTTGTCCCAGGAAGCACAGCGTCCTCCTCATGACTCAGCCCTCTGGGCAGGTCGCTCAGCATTTTTTCCCCTTACTGGGATATATCAAAGTCTTTCCTTCAGCAGCCCTATGCAGTATTCCCATTCACTGCCTCAACTGAGCAGTTCTGGGCTTTATTCTCCCAGCCCTCATTGCTCCTTCCCTGGACTGCTTCCTACCACTCATTTCCCCCCACGATCTCTGGGTGTACTTGCTCCAAACCTTCTTCCCTCTACCCAAGGAGTGATTGCTCTTTCTCAGCAGCCCTTGTCTGTTGTCAGCTTCCTGGCTTTATAGGCCCTGCCTGTTCCTGCCCAGCTGAGCCTGCTTTCTATCAGTTCCCTGCCCTCTAGCTCTCCCTCCAGGTGCAGTCTGTGCAGTTAATTGGCCTGCCTGGTCTTCTGAACCCCTTCCAGTCCTGTGTGGGGTGGACACCCCATCACCCAGTTACATACTTTTACTTTTCTTTTGTGAATTAAATGCTTATTTACATTTTTAAAAGAAAGCTCTTTCTAAACATTTGCCTGTGTTGTGGAACAGCTTAAATAATACTGAGAATACAGAAAATTAATGAGCTGTCTAGCATACTCACAAGACTAATACACAGCTTTATGTTTCAGATGACAATAAGAAAGTGACTGTAACCTGCTCGTTGATTTGTAACCTTGTTGTTGTTACATTGAATAGGAATTTCTAAAAGCAACACAAAACCCTTATAGACAGATGGGCTGATAATGATAGCAATATATTTGTGACCCAGTGGTAAATAAGAGAGCTCTTCTTTTAGAGAGCTGATTTTCCTTCCTCCACGAGCAGGTACGTGTTAAAAAATTCTCTTCTTTTTTGTAGGCAGCAGTGACAGATGTGCAGTTTGGCCCTATGAGACTCCACCAAGATCAACTTCAGGTAACACTTTAGGAAATGCTGAAACTAAGGTGAAGTTTCATGATTATCACACTGCATTTGTCCTGTAATTTATGGTATGCACATTGATGTTCAAATAAATATTTCACAGCTCAAACCAAAGACCAAATTTTCAGCAGGGTAATGTTTGTGACTGGATCCATTTTGTGCGTACAACCCTTCCCCAGGGCATTTTGGCGTGCCAGGCAACAAGTATGTTATCTAACAGATACAGCACTCTGTAAGTTTTCCCATCCTAAAATAAATCCCCACCCTATTTCCAGCCTCTCTCCCTTCTCCCCGGCATCTCTCAACTTACTGAACATGATATCTACAACTATTTCTCCTCGTTTCTGTTCTCCACTTCCACCTATATTCCAGTCCAATCTGGTTCTCAACCACTACACTTCACTCTACTGAAACTGCTCTGAACAAGGTTGCTCTTTAATAATCCAAATGGACAAATCTCAGACCCTCTGCCCCATCCTTCATCCTCTTTGAGCTTTTGACTGCACTTAACACTGCTGAGCATAGCCTCCTTCCTGATGCCTCATCCTCTCTCAGCTTGTGCAACTCCATCCTCCCTTGGTTCTCCTCCTGCTGCTCTGGTTGTTCCATCAGTACTTCTCTTGGTGAATCCACCTCTTCACCCCCTCACCCTTTCCATGGGTATCCCATAGGGGTCCATCAATGCTCCACTCATCTTCTCCCTCTACACCCCATCTCTAAGTAATATTATCCATTCAGATGGTATCAGTTTATACTTAATAATATGGCAAAGGCTGAACTCATCTTCCCAAGTCCTTCCTACTCCCTATTTCTCTGTCAACATTGACAACACCACAGTTCTCCTTGTAACTCAAGCCTATAACCTAGTGTCATCCTGGAGTCCACTACCTCTCTTGCTGCACAGATTCATTCATAGATTCATTCATAGCTCATAAGGCCAGAAAGGACCATTGTGATAATCTAATCTGACCTCTTGCATAACCCAGGACTCTTATAGGACTTCCCTGTATTAATTACTCTTTGAATGAGATCATCTCTTTTAGAAAAAAAAAATCCAATCTTGACTGAAAAATTTCCAGTGATGGGCAATCCACCACAGCATTGGTTAATTACCCTCATTTTAAAATTTTACACCTTGTTTCAAGTTTGAATTTGCTTAGCTTCAATTTACAGCCATTGGATCCTGTTATAGTTTTATTTTCTAGAGTGAAGAGCCCTCCATTATCAGATTTCTGTTTCCCGCATAGGTACTTATAGACTTTGATCAAGTTCCCCGTAACCGTATCTTGGATGTCATGTTCTTCTATCCTTTAATCATTGCCATGGCTCTTCTCTAAAACTCTCCAGTATTTCTTGAACTATGATTCCACAACTGGACACATTATTCCCGTACTGGTCACATCGGTGCCAAATACAGAGGTAATGTAACCTTTCTACTTCTAGTCAGTATTTCCCTGTTGTTATATATCCAATGGATCACAATAGCTGTTTTGGCCACGGCATTGCAATGGGAGCTCATGTTCAACTGCTTAGCCGTCAAGCCATCATGAGTCTGAAAAAGACTTGTGGGTCACCATTTTCCAGGATAGAGTCCCCCATCCTGTAAGTATTACCTGCATTCTTAGTTCTTAGATGTATACACGTACATTTAGCTTTATTAAAACACATATTGTTTGCTTGTGTCCCTCTTACAAAGTGATCCATATCGATCGGTATCAGTGACCTGTCCTCTTCATTATTCACCACTCCCTCAATCTTTGTATATCTGCAATTTTTATCAGTAATGATGTTCTAGTTTCTTCCAGAGTCATTGATAGATATGTTAGTGTGTGGGGCCAAAAAGTGCTTCCTTTGAGATCCCACTAGAAATACATACTCTTGATAATGATTCTTCATTTCCGATAACATTTTGAGACCTATCAGTTATCTAGTTTTTAATTAATTTAATATGTGTCATGTTGATTTTGTATCTTCCTAGTTTCTTAATTAAAATGCTGTGTGGTATGAAGTCAAATGCTTTACAGAAATCGAAATATATTACATCAACACTATTACCTTTTTCAATCCAATTAATAATCTCACCAAAAAAAGATATCAAGTTAGTTTGACATGATCTGTTTTCTACAAACTCATGCTAATAGGCAATAATTATATTACACTCCTTTAATTCTTTATTGATCAAATCCTATATCAGCTGTCCTATTATTTTGCGCAGGATCAATGTCACGCTGACAGAACTACTGCCCAGGTTGTCCCATTGATCTCTTTTAAATATTGGCACTACGTTAGCTTTCTTCCAGTCCCCTGCAACTTCCTCACTGTTCCAAGACTTGTTGCAAATCTGCATTAATGGTCCAGAGAGCTCTTCAGCCATCTCTTTTAAAATGCTTGGATGCAAGTTAGCTGGACGTGCAGATTTTAAAATGTCTAATGTTCAGTAGCTGCTGTTTAACACCCTTGCTGGTTACAGTTGGACTGGAGAGTATTTCATCATCATATGACTGAATACATCATCCTGCTTTTGCCCCAAACGAGGGCAGAAATATTTCTTGCACACGTCCATCTTTTCTGCATTATTGTTGACAATTCTACCATTTCCATCTAGTAATGGTTCAATAAATCAAGCCTCATAATACCCAGGGGAGGTAGCTAAATATTATTATCTGCATTTTACAGATAGGGATACTGAGGTATAGAGAGGTTAAATGACTTCAAATCTATGGCGGAGCCAGGAATACAACCCAGATCTGCTGATGGCTGTTCTGTGCTTTTTGCTACAAAATGATCCTTCCTTTCTTAAGATTGTTATAAATTAACTTTCACTAAAAATAGCCCAAACTATTACATGTTTTTACAGAGAGTTTAGCATAAACTACTATTGGTTGCTATAAAAGGAATCTGAGTTAAATGAACACAAAGTCCTTCACTCTTACAAAAATATGCACTACATGTAACTGTTAAGATTTATTGATAGACATTCTGCCAACCGGGTCCAAAGTGTAACTACCGCTGGAATTCTTAAAATAGCCCAGAAGTATAAAGTTCAGCAGGATGTGGTGTGAGTTACAGAAGCTATACATTATTGTTTGACCAGAGTATACATATCTTACTGTAGTTTGATTAAATTACTGAAAGTTTTGGTGTTGTGTGACAATAGCCAAATTCTGAAAGTGACTTTATTGCCCCTTTCCAAAAATGGACACACACGTTGTATTATCTGCAAAAGCAGCATTAATTAAAGGCCCGTATTCTGTCTGCAAACAGCCCAAATAAAGCCTCTTCCTCACTCCCTACACAGTGTCATCCTGATGCAAAGCCTGTTTCAGTCAATGGCAGTTTTTCTGTAGACTTTAATGACCTTTGGATCTGGCCCTCTTCAACTTCTATAGCACCTTCCATCGTGGTTATCCGAACACCATACAAACATGAAGGAATTAAGCCTCCCCACACCCATATGAAGTGGGTAAGCATTCTTATCCCCATTTCAAAGAAAAAAGAAACTGAAGCACAGAGACACTAACCTTGCCAAAGGTTACGGCATGAGTTTGTGACCAAGCCAGCCCTAGGTCCCAGAATTCCTGACTCTCAGATTTTTATTTTAACCACAGCACACTCCCTTTGGAATGAATTGCAAGGCAGATGCTGCCTAAGAGTCATAACTGGGGCAAGCTGCATGCATAGGAATACCGTCCTTGACCTCAGAACCCCATGAGCTCACCAGGACTCCCATAGTTCTTGCTAGTCACAATATTTTAGGGGAGTCAGGATGAGATGGAAGGCACAACTTGTTTTCCATCATGCCACTGCAGCATCTGTGCAGATTTCCCCACAAATTATTTAGTCTGTGATTCCAGCAGTGTTAGCAAGTGGACATCCTGTACTAAGGCCCAGTCCAGCAAAGCCCTTAAGCATGTGCCTGGGACTGCTCACATGCTTACAATGACACCCATTTTAACTGCTTTGCTGGAACGGGGTCAAAGCAAGCAAAATGAATGAAAGTTACTTGTATATCTGTAAAAGGGCATATCACAGACTATTTCTATGATAAACCATATGTTTATTCTTATTACACAAACTGTATTCTAGTTTTAATAGTGTTCCCATTAAAATATTCCTTTGGCTCTATCAAAAACAATCTTATTAAATATTGTACATAAATCTTGTAAATGGACTTCACTAAAGTTTTCATAAAGTGGTTTAGGACTTGTAGAAATAGCAGCTGTACAGTATATTTAAAGATCTTTTAAACGTGATTCACTCTGTTTCTTTGACTCAGGTACTTTTAGTGTTTGCCAAAGAAGATAACCAGAGTAACGGGTTCTGTTGGGCCTGTGAGAAGGCTGGGTTTCGGTGTAATATTGCCAGGACACCTGAATCTGCACTGGAATGTTTTCTGGATAAACAGCATGAAATTATTATTATCGACCATAGACATTCCAGATATTTTGATGCAGAAGCTCTATGCAGGTAAGTTCCATAACAATGGAATTTGAAAAATAGTGTTTTTATTATAAAGGAATAGATGGAAAACTCAGAATGTGATTATAGGCAGGAAGAATGTATAAAGTTATAGTGAATCTGTCACCACAAATTTGTCATTTATATTTTAGCTTTTTGATAAAAATTTAGAAAGGTGCAAAAAGCAATGATACCTGAGGGGTGTACACAATTGCTTTGTCATTTGCAAAGCAATAAACAACTGCTGAGACTTTATTGACAAAGTGAGGCTGAAGTGCTGGAGTTTCAAACGCTTAGACCCACAGTTGCATGCCTAATTTGTACACAGAAATCTGGGAATTCCATACATAAATTCATTTAATTAGCCATTTATATGCCTAGGTGCTGGAACTGGCGGTGCTGCCACACCCCTTGGCTTAAAGTGATTTCCATTATATACTGGATGTACAGTTTGATTCAATGGCTCTCTGCACCCCCTCTATAAAAATTGTTCCAGCACCTCTGTTTGTATGCTCAATTTCTTGAAATTTCCCATGCAACTACATGTGCAAATGAGGCAATATTTTGTGTGCACAATTGCACACCTACAGTGTTTGCAAATCTGGCCTGAAATACATAATCTTTCTCAAAAGTCTTGTATTACAAATTTACTCCAAAACAACCCCCACCAACTACTATAGCACATGAATAGGGGGAGAAATATTCTTTCATAGCTCTTCAAGGTCTGAAAATGCAGCAGTGTCTTGTTTTCACTGACTTTCTAGTGAAATACTCCCTGGGAGCATGTCTAGACTAAATATCTGATAGGGATGGGGGTGCAGGGGTCAGAGTTCTGACTGCGGGTGAGTGTAGTGGGGTCAGGGCACTGGGACAAATGCTTTACTTCTTGTTAAAATAAAGGAATTAGTTTAAGATCTGTCAGGAGAAGGCAGGAGAGCACTGATGTTCCCTTGGTTAAATTTTTACCACTCAATTCTTCAGCAGAGTAAAATGCTCAATAACTGATCGAGGACAAGTCTGAAACATGCATAACTGCATGGCTTCTTTTGGAATGGAGCATTGTGAATGTAGTGTCGATATGGGTTTCATGTCATTTGTGAGGGGAAGATATTTGCTATTTCCTCACCAGGGCTTGGCCAAAATCTGGACTAATCTACAATTTGCATGTTGTTTTTTCCACTGATACTCATAAACTGCTCAACATAGTCTTCTTTTGTAATTACCAAACAAGCTGGGGACTCAGTTTTGATTTGGTTGTGGTTTTTTTAGAATTAAGCATTTAAGAAAGGGATTTTCTAAAGACACTGTAGGATTTATTGAAGATGAACTACAGAAATGTTAAGTGATCTTGTTTCTTTATTTTAAGGTCTATCAGAACAACTAAAGCCTCAGAAAATACAGTCATAATTGGTGTAGTACGAAGGTAAATTGCAAATATCTTTATTTTCCAACATAAACAATCAAATGAATGTGAATCTAATCATTGCAAATACTAAAACAATAGCTCTAAATTAGAACACTTTATTGTGTTAGTGACACTATACTTCTACTGGGTACTGTGTTCACCATCCTCTGCTGCAGGAGGGGTGTAGCCTTGCCTTTTGATTTCTGCATTGCACGAGATATTCCCTCCCTCTCCCCCATATCACTGAAACTTTTAAGAACATGATTTGACCAAAAAACATAGCACTGTGTGCCAAGCTGTGGATCCTTCTCAAGGCTGAATGTTTTACAACTCATGGAAGACCCTCCTTGTAGCTGTCAGTATCCCTAGATACTAAACTGCCCAGTAGGCCTGTCACCTCTCATCCCTTCTCCATGACCTCTTTGAGTGGATGCTTTGTTCACTGCTGTCTAGGGAGACCATTTGTCCTAGTTTGCTAGGATTACCCCTGTACTGAAGTCCTGTCCTGCTAGTCTTGCTTGTTCTCCTGAAACTAGTTTTGTTGCTGTTTCAGCGAAAGCCTCTGGGAGGGTTGTCCAGCCACCTTTACCCACCCTCTGTTCTAGTCTCTCCAACTCCTCCTCTCCACTACAGATCCAGCTCTGTTAGTATTCCTTACCTTTCTGCTGAAGTCAGGCCCAATGGCTGCCTCTGTCCCGGCCTAATGAATCACTCCCCCACTTAGACAGTCTTGATCTTGACTACTTCCTCCTCTTTTTCTCTTGTTTGATTCCACTGCACTGTGTTTGGAGTACAATCTTAGCAGAAAGAAGCATTGGCCAAAAGAAAAATAAGCTGGCAGGTGGCACTTTAGGCCACGGCAAAGGAAGCTGCTGGCAAATCTTATGACTGTGACAACTAGGTCACATACACAGCCTTGGCAGCCCTTAAAGCTGGATTGGCTTTTATGCGAGTAATTTAAAGGGGAAAAAAGAAAATAAGGGAGGGAGAGAGAGAGAGAGAGAGAGAGGAAACAGCGGCTCAAGAGCATCTTGTTCTTCATCCAAAAAAAAGAAAAATATGGCACACCCTTGGCACTGCAGGCCAACTGTTCATTATTAAGGTAGGACCAATTTGAACCTGGCTTGCTAAATCACAGCCATGGTAGGAAGTTACTCAAGAGGTTTTTCTGCAGTTACTTTTTCTTTAAAAAAAAAAAAAAAAAGCAGCTCACACTGTGAATGCTGTGATAAGGATAAATGCTCTTCAGGAGAAGATCTCATTAACTTAAGCTCTCTAGCCTTTCAGACCACTAAGTGTCCCAGCCTGGTGTAAAAAGCTAAGAAATAAATTTGCATTGCCCTGGGGGTATGTCTACAATGCAGTAGGAGGTGTGGCTGCACTCAGGTGGGCATACCCATGCACAGGTGCCAACTTCTACTGATGCTGGTGGGTGCTCGACCCCTCTCTGCCCCTGGCCCCACCCCGACTCCACCCCTGCCCCGGCTCCTCCCACCTCCATTCTAACCCCTTCCCCAAAGTCCCCGCCCCAACTCCGACCCCTCCCTGCCCCTATTCCGACTCCTTCCCCAAATCCCCACTCCAGCCCCGCCTCTTTCCTGCTCCTCCCCCGTCCCTCCTGGGGCTTGCTATAGCTGTTTGGCGGCGGCAAGCGCTGGGAGGTAGGTGGAGGAGCGGGGATGCGGAGCGCTCAGGGGAGAAGGTGGCGGAGGAGGAGGTGAGGTGGGGCAGGGTGGGGAGGGGAGCTTGGGTGCCAGTGGGTGTAGAGCACCCACTACTTTTTTCCCCATGGGTGCTCCAGCCCCGGAGCATGCATGGAGTCGGTGCCTATGTACCTGTGCAAGGTTTAATCTAGGAAGCCCAGCTAAAACTAGCAGGGATGTTGCAGCAGCATGGACCCTTGCACAGGCTAGCAATGCAAATACATATCCAGGGTGCGGGGCAGGCTTATACAGACCACGCTGAAGCCTGTGCTGCCAGGTCTTCACTGCTATTTTTAGCCATGCTAGCTAGATGAAAGCAAGCGTGGATATACCTTCCCAAGCTGCGGATCACCTCCTATTGCAGTGTAGACATGCCATGGGACCGATTTTCTACTGAATAGTACATTGTACGGCTGTGTCTTCACTGACCAAAGATAAAGGTGTGTTTTTACCATGGTATAACTAACACATGTTAGCTATCCCACCGTAAGAACGTGGCAAGACAAGGCACTGGACTTTTAGCGCAAGATAAACAAAGTGAGCCAGCCACAGGCAGGGAGTATAGTGCTTGACTTCGCCTAGCAACCTGACGGTAAATGCAAATGCCTTATGTCCATTTAGGATTTTACTGGGAGCTATTGATCATGTGTCAATTATCTTACTGTAGAAAAACCATTTTTGTGCCAATGAACCCCCTCCAATTTATCAGCATCCTTCTTGAATTCTGGGCACCAGAACTGAGCACATTATTCCAGCAGCTGTCTCACTGGAAGCTAAGATACCTATATCTATTCTCTAATCTGCCACTGACTCTGTCTCACCTTGGGCAAGTCCCTTAATTTTGCTATGCCTCAGTTTTCCCATCTGTAAAAGAGAGGAATTATACCCACTTAGAGTGCCCTGAGGTTTTCAAATCAGAAGAACTATTTAAATGCAAGCAATTACATCACCTGCTTCACCAGCCTCCCTTACCTCTGATATACTTTTTAACCAAACCTAAAACAATTGCCATTCCTCCAACTTCTCCCATCCCAAGATATACACATATTTTTTTAAATATTGAAAGATTATATGGCCAAGATTTTCAAAAATAATGAGTGATTTTGGTGCCTCTTTTTATGGGCGTCCACCTTGTCACACCTTAAAGAGTCCTGATATTCAGAAAGTGCTGAGCACCTGACTTTGGAAAACCAGGCTCTACTGAATGTCCCAAGTTAGACATCCAAGATTTGAGGCACCCAAAATCACTAGTCACCTTTTGAAACCAGTTGGCCATGTCAACTTTCAATTTCCCCATATTTTCCATTAGCCAAGGGTAGCAACAACAGTAAAGAGTCGAGTATAGAAAAACATGGACTAGTCAAGCGATTTCTTAAGTCTGTTGGCATGAAGCATTGATTTTTGTGTTGCAAAAAAGTTAGGGAGCATACTTGAAAATGGAAATGATAATTTTGACGTAACATTTACTGAAAATTAAACTTAACATTCAAGATGTTTATCAAAGCACAAGAAGTGTATTTGATTTACAATAACAAAACTGTAATGCTTGGCTACATAGTGTGTGTTTTAGGCCCCAATCCTGCTAAGGATTCTTTTGTGGGACCAAGACTGAATCAGCAAAAGAAGCATTTCTGACTTTGTCGTTCTGTTTTGACAGACATAGTGATCGGGAGGAGTCATCAATATTGCCACTGATTGCAGCAGGCTTCACAAGGGTGCGTATGTATTGTCATCCCCTGGATCGTTCTGTAATGTGTGAACTATGATGTAATATGAGAAGCTGTGTTGCCGTTTGGTTTTCAGTGGTCCAGTTTGTCAGTAGTCCAGTCTGCAAAGCCTCACCTTCTGTAGTCCATTGTTCTATATTGTCTCCTCCTGAGCTAGCATATCCCAATGGAAACAGAAACATGACCACTTCCAAGATCATCCTAACTATCAGAGACTTTTTATATGCTGATTTTAAAAGAAATGTAAAAGCATTACACTTCATTTCATAAGTATATATGGGCCAGACTGACCCATTAGTAGCCATACGGTAGCAGAGCAGGGAAGTAACTTGTAGTGAACATAGAACATCCTATGGGAAATTGATGCTATCAAATACAAATTCTCACCTGTAAACTGGGTTCAAACATTGTCAGGTGCTCTTATCTATTGTTTAGAGCAGTGGTTTAGAGCAGTGGTTTGCTGCTCCAGGCCAATGGGAGCTGCTGGAAGCACCGTGGGCTGAGGGACGTACTGGCCGCCGCTTCCAGCAGCTCCCATTGGCCTGGATCAGCGAACCGCGGCCAGTGGAAGCTGCGATCGGCCGAACCTGTGGATGCGGCAGGTAAACAAACCGGCCCGGCCTGCCAGGGGCTTTCCCTGCACAAGCGGCAGAACAAGTTTGGGAACCACTGGTTTAGAGTCATCTGGAATGCATTACACTGAATCTGTTCCCTGGCAACTATCCCAATTAAGCAGGCTTGGTGCTTATTAGTGTGTAAGTTAGGTGGATTCTTCAGTACATTAAGCTGACAATGGAACAAAAAGTGCATGATTTATAGTGAGACGCATGGTGCATGTTCACTAGTTTGTTTACTACTCTGTCATAGCGCTTTTGCATCCCTGTCCTTATTTGTAGTTAGACCTCAATGCTGCAAATGCTAAAGGATGGGAGTAATTTTATGCATCTGAGTAGATCCAGTGACTTCAGAGGGACTACTCAGATAAGTAAAGTTATGCAGAGTGCTTAAGTATTTTCAGGATTAGGGGCTTGACAGCCTTGGCATTATCTTTCTAGAACCCATTCCTGCAATTCTTACTCCTCATCAACTCCCCTTGAAGTCCATGGCACTTTAGCACGAATGAAGATTCGAAGGGCTTGTCTGCACTTGGAAGTTGTTTCTGATTAACGTAGGGGATGTATTTGAAGTGCCACAGCTGTTCCTGAATAACTCCATGCATGGACAGGCTTATTCTGGAATAAGAGTTCCTTGTACCTGTTTAGTTTAACCCACTTTGGTTAAATTAAATAGGAAGATGGCACTTTTATTACAGAATATGTGTCCACCCATGGAGTTATCTGGGAACAGTTAATCAGGAACAGCTTCATGTGTAGAAAAGCCCTTTGGCCAAACACATAAAGAGTCTGAATCAAAACCCACCAAAGTCAATGGGAGTCTTTCTGTTGACTTCCTTAGGCCTTGCATCAGGCCCAAAATGAATACACACTAGGCAAGGGCTAATATCTTGTCATGTAACAGTTTGTTTGTTTGTTTGTTTGTAACATTGTTTGTTTCTATCCAGGAAATTATGACCTAGAAAGCTAAACACCATGTAAACTTAGTGTTGAAATTTGACTTTTTTTTATTAACAATATGATTTAATTGTTATTTAAACTAAACAGCATGAAGACAAATAATTTTAACAGAAATTAGTTTGATCCTGTTTATTAACTTTGTTGATAGTCACATTGACACAGCATGCTGTTTTTATCTTGTTGTTACATTTTATTTTCTATTGCTTTTTTCAAAATGTAACACCTGGAGGAAATGTTAATGTTAGTGTTAAATCCCTGATACAAGTTTCTAGAGCTCTTTACTTGTGAATGTGTTAATTTTATGCATCCCTGCTGTCATTCATAATTTCTTTTTTCTTTAAAACAGCATATCTTTATTGACAGAAAAGTCAACTTTCTAACTTTTCATTTACAGAGATATGTAGAAAATTCCAATATCATGGCCTGTTACAATGAGCTAATTCAGCTGGAATTTGGAGAAGTGCGGGCACAATTTAAACTAAGGTAATTGTACCAATTTCGAGAAAACATCAACAATAAAAAAGGCCAAATTTATTCTCATCCAAAAAAGAAGATTTCTTCTTACTGTATGGATGCTCATTACAGAAAGTTAGTTAGCCAAAGAAGTATGTCCCTATTAATCCCTAAAGCACAAACTCCTGCCAGAATTTGTGTTTTTTCTTTGTATGATATTTTATATAGATTGTAAGAGACACGTAAATTAAATCTAATTCATTGGGTTTTTTTCTGTCTACAAGGGCTTGTAATTCAATATTTACAGCACTCGAAAAAAGTCAAGAAGCCATTGAGATCACAAGTGAAGACCATGTGATACAGGTTTGTTCTAGTTATTTTTATAAGCATAAAATATTGTTCTGTGGGTTCACTAAATTTTATTTCATCCACAATGATATGTACTCTTTCTTTAAAAGAGGTTCAATCATCTGACCTAATAGTTCTAAACAGATGAGACGAATTCAGCTCTCATGTACAATTTCCTCAGTTTAAAATATCCTGTATAAACCAAGTATATTTTAAAAAATAAGTAATCTTTGCGGTTATGCTGCAGATCTGGCCCTCAGTCTTTTTGTGATGCTCATTTCACATGTTGCTGATAACTGCTGGTGAACACAGCCACGGTTTTATAAACTTTCTTTTCCTAAAGTGTTGCAAATTAATTTAATTTTTCTTTAAAACCTAGCGGCAAGCAAAGCTAATTCCAAGTGCAGGCAAGGCCCCTGAGTGTAAGTTTTAGTCAAGTTTCAGCAAATGTCCCCAAGTGACTAGAATAAAATCACAAAACTCATTTCCTTGAAGCTCATTGTCCTTGAAGACTTGAATCCATCCCTCTGTATGCACTGGGGCTCAAACCTGCAAGTTGGGAGCTGCAGGGAGAGCCGCTGCTTTTACCTCTCCCTGTAGAGCTAAAGCAGCAGCCCTGCCCTGCAGCTCCCAGCTGTTTGCCAGTACCTCTCCATGCAGAGCTAATATCTGGGAGCTGCAGGGAAGGGCCGCTGAGAGTAAGAGGGGGTGGGTGCTTGGGGAGACATGACTCAAGCTGTTGGATGGGGCCAAACCTTTAAATTGTGCCCCCCGCCCATCATCAAGCACCTTCAGTTTATGGAGAAGGATTCCTGCCTCCCAGCACTCTTAGATTCCCCTTCACACAGCCCATTTTCTTGAGCTTTCTGTGGGGCCCAGAGACACCCCCGCACCCCAGTCCTTAGCTGTTTCATATAAAGAAAAGACAGAATTTAGCAACATTACTGGTTAATACTCCTCTGCCCTACAAAATCTCGTCATCCTGTTTGTGTCTTTCACAACACTGAGATTGGTCTCAGTTTGAAAGGATTAATTTTTCAAGAGTATTTGTTGTCTATAATAACTTCTTAGAAATGCAAAACTATTTTGTTATGGAAATACAACATATATTTCCCCCTCTCTCTGCTCATGTGCGCACACAGGCTTGTTTTGTAAGAGCGCCAGGCTTCTGGACTGGATTTTTGTTTTGTTGTGCTAAAAAAATTGAAGTGTATGTTTTATGAATAATACATACAAAGATGTTTATTTCAGCTTAGTAAACATACCACTAGGTATTAACAAGGTAGGTCAAAATGCAGGTCTGTCTTGACTTTCTTCCTTTAAGTATTGTGTTTAATGAGCTTTGGTTTTATTTCACAGTACGTAAATCCTGCATTTGAAACAGCGATGGGCTATCAGATAGGTGAATTAATAGGAAAGGAATTAACTGAAGTGCCTATAAATGAAAAAAAAGCTGATTTCCTAGATACTATTAATTCCTGCATAAAGATAGGAAAGGTAAGTAGCCATATAATATCATTTATCATTCCATGATATTATTACACACTGCCTGTATGAGTGATAATTGTCCATGCATAAAACACAACAAGGAGTTTACAGGTATGTAACCTGTGTTGTTTGCTTACTCACACAAGTAATCCCGTTGAAGTCAATGAGACTAGTTGTGACTAGCAGGATTTGGCACTAACATACTAACCTGGGGTCCAATCCTCTTCCCACTGAAGTCAATCGCATTCATCTTATTGACTTCAGTGGGAGCAGGCTTAGTCTAGTCCTCTCAACTGCAATAATTATGGGCTCAATCCTGCAAGGTACAGAGGAGAGCCACATACTCCTCAACTCCCATTGGTACTTTGCTGCACTGGGTCTTGGAGCGCTGCTCCTTACTGTAGATTCTATTTTACTTGCGTTGAAAACCAATCTTGTGTGTTATCTCACTCTCATTGTTGTAACTCCAAATGCTTTAAATTGTGGGTCTGAGGGTGTGGACAATCTTACTGATGCTAAAGAAATGAATCCCACATGATTTAAATCTTCTCATTCAATTTGTGTAGGTGTGTTTGTGCGAGTACATATGTGCCCATGCGCCCCTTCATTGTATCCCATATTTGGTATGCTTAATAATGGTGAAAAACAATTAAAAGAAATCTCTGAGAACAATAAATATTCTATGTTGGTGGGAAAATTCTTATCAGCAGTAAAAAAATGTTTTTGACATTGTCAAAACATAAAGCTGTGTAATGTATAGTATAAGAAAGTGATAAGATGGAGTAATGCATTTCTAGAATGGGAACTGAACTGAGTTTAAAGAGGTTTGGATCTCATCAAGAATTACATTTTCCTTTTTGTAAAGGTTACTTTCAGTTAAGTTGCATGGAAAAGTAAGAGAGTAAAACACTCTCCTGTGTTGTTTCTATGTAGCGTGTGTTACATGTATGTGTATTACTCACTTTACATATTTGGGGCATATGCTGCATGCACCAAAAGGTGTGAAAACCTGAAAGGGAGGTGGAGAATAAGGAAAATCAGGTAACTTGATATGAAAGAACAAGTTGTCCAGTGGCCGGTAGATTAGAACAGAACCACACTCCATTTTCAACATGATACATTGTAGCTGATTAGCAAGCTCAGAATTTAGAAACCTTGGGAGAGAGGCATGTAATTGCTATCACCCTAAAGGGACATATCAGCTTCCAACTGCCAGGCTCTTTTCTTCCCCAAGAGAGGTAGTTCTCTAATGACTAAGGAACTCGCTAGTGGATTTCCATTAGAAATATTGTTGCACCAAGGAAGTGCAGGGAAGTCAGATGGCTTCAAAGTCCAGATATGGAGGTTGATAACAGAGATTTTGCAGACTGCCTCATAGCACTATGGTGTTCCTTTGACTGTATTATTGTTGTGGCACTATGTGAGTGTGCATCCTAGTATGTCTCGGAGCTGACATTTGCATCTTGACAGCAAAGCCTAAATGCCTTCTGAGGCCAGTGAAAAGATATGTCATGGTACCCTGTCTAAGGAGACACTGTTCATGGTGATAACATGAGGAATTTTCTGAATCAGATGCATTTGCAAAGATGTGCCATGGCATATACACAAGGCTGAGTCAGGGTAGCTAATTGGGTCACACTAGCTGTCTGCTGGGAAACACCACATTATTGACAGTGTGGTGAGATGTTAAAATTAATAACTAGTGTTATTTACATCTAGGCATTGATGCATCAAGACACCAGCACAAAGATGTGATTAGTCACACTGTGTACATCAAGGTAGTAACATGAGTATTCGTCTAGAAAGGCAATGATGTGTCTCTGTGCAGATGGAATGTGCATCTGAACATGAAACTGTCAAGTGTCTGGATATTGACTGGAGTGCTGGAACGGATCCAAGAGACATCCAAGGGCTAAAATGATGGTACTTCACAGTTCTGTTGCCTCTGTGAAGGTGCATCCAAATAAAGGCACGTGGTACAGGTCTGATACCATTATGTGGTGGTCATTAAGTTAAGAATACAGATCAGTTAGTTCTATTGGGCCTCATGACTACAGCATCTACTATTCAAGATATCCAATTATCACATTTTCAATTATTTTTAATGTAATAACAAAAATGCCTCTAACAGAAATGTATTTTTAGACTACTCATGGTAAAAAAACAACAACTAATACTGAGTAATATTTTCCTCTAAGTATGGAGCTGTCAAGATTTTCATGTTTTAGTATACTGATTTCAGGACACCCCTCTGTGAATATTAGGGAGATATTAAACTTTAAAGCCTGCATTTCTGTAAGGTCTTGAACTCTCCTCGATGTAGATCTGTATTTGTTACATATGTCTTCTTCTTTGCCATTGGGACACTTAACAGATTGTAATCTATTGAGATTGTAAAAATGTAGAATTTTACCTATTAACACAAAAAGAGTTCTTCCAGACAACATTTGCAGATGCAATTTTACTGTGTGGTTCAACGTTTGAAAGATCACAATACTTTGAAAGTGTTTTTATACTGAATTGTTCCAGGAGAATTTGAAACAAACTTGTGTCCGGAAGGAATAACATTCTCCAAAAAGTTTTGGTTGTGTCAAGATAAATCTGATTTGATTTATCTGTCTCCCTCCATGTTTGTGATTTCTTTGTACATATGAAAAAAGACTGCTTCCCGTTAGCAACCAAATATGTGAGCACTGTAACTTGATTACACTAGCTTACAATATACCAAGCAATTTCTCTAGCCCAGACAAAAACCCGTGCTCTGATGTTTTCTGATCATCCAGCAGACAGTAGGAGTTCTTATCTCATGATGAGACGAACCCTTTCCAGTTTGAGACTACGTAGTATGGTATCATAACAAACACAGTAACAAACCAGAATTTTTGATAGAGCTGCGCCAGAGATTTGGGGGAAATGTTTCTAGTTGTACAATGGGATCCAAGATGGATCTATGCCTGTTCATCCACACCTGTAGCATTTTAACTCCTTTGTTGAGAAACATTAATCTGTGGCCAAGTTTAGCATCTTCAAACAGTATTTGATTGGCATTTTACACAGTAAAGCAAGGGATGTTTTAGCGAATGGACTTGGACAATCCATGTAGTATACAGTGATCAGGAAGGATATTGTAGAGCCAAGTAAAAAGATGTCTTTGATTAACATATGCTGGCTGTACTCACAAGAGACCAGCGCTATCAAAGGGCATTTTCCTTCTGTTCGAATTTAAGAAATTAAGACACAACACTTGTATATTCTTAACTCGTTGAATGAATCAAATTAGATCCACTGAGGTGAAATCTGAACCAGCTGATCACATCTGACTAGAAGTTTTCCTGCATCTGATCCCTATGATCTGGGACAAAAAAATCTTTATTTGAGATAGTTTCACTTTTCATAAAGTGAGGACAAATCTACACCACAGTGAGAGTATTTCCCACCGACATAGTGTCCCTGTGGACAGCGCTTAGATTGATGTAACTTACGTTGCTCAGGGGGATGTCTTTTTCACACCCCTGAGTGACGTAAGTTACATTGACTTAAGCGGTAGTGTAGACCAGCCCTCATGAGATACCTTTTGATAATTCAGACAAGGCACCCAATTTCTCTCACTGCTTGGAAGTTACTCCACAGAGGAATATATATCCTGCAAACTATAGGGGAAGTTATTTAGTTGTCTAAGGCAAGTGAGTAGTTTGTAAGGGTGCACACTGTGTGCAATTTTATATGAAAAATGAACCAAACTCAGTGGCCCTTCCCTGGACTCAGATCACATTGTGGAAGATTTTGTGCTTGACATTGAGCTTTGGTTTACAATGAGCTTTGGTGTCTTACTGGGTAATGAAGCATTGCCTTCCAAAGGTATCAGCAGAGCAGCAGATTATCATATCAAGGATGTTATTGATCCTTTCTTTTCTACTTACACCAGACGTTCTTAGTCTTTATTTTAACACCAGAACATTAGGCCACGCTGAAGTGACTGTGACACCGTATTTCTAGGACAGTAATTCATTCATAAGGATGAGCTCAGTTGAAGGCATATGTCGAGAGGTACATATTCTCTATTTAGCTGGCTGACAGAGGTTCTTGGAGAAAGCATATGGAGTTCTTAAAATATGTTTATGTAATATCCTTATAAGAACTTTACCTAATGGCTGGTGTTTGTCTTAGACCAGAACTGAATTCTTCTGACCCTTCTCCTCCACATGTTACCTTTCAAGGTTTTCTTGTTTTTTTTCAGGCATTACAACTGTGAATTTTGCCTCTTAAATATGAAGCAAAATCCATTAGTGACTACTTCTATTCTGACATGAGGGGAAGGCACTTGCAACTCTACAATTATTCAATCCGTGCATTATGACTTCATCCCTTTATGCATATTCTGACCTTATTATCTGGGTTTAGAGATTGATTACTCTTCTCTCCCTTATCCTGGTTGTCAGGGAACTATTGCTATGTATCATTTTAATTCCAAGAGCATAGAACTGTGTAATGTTTGCTTAGTCCTCATTTATATTCCTCATGCAACATATGGGAGAAGATATTATGCTTGATTCCCAATTTGTTGTGCACAGTTCTTTTCTCAGAGAGAGGCATGGAAAAACCTTTCAGGTTTGTTTGTTTTTTTTTTTTTCATTCCTCAACTTCCTCCCCACACTGCTTGTCATTATGCAGTCCTTATGCATGCTGGATTCGTTACTTGTTGGTTCTCCCTCCCCAGTGCAAAGTGCATTAAAATGTAGGGCAAATTCTACCCTCAGTTATGCCTGTGCAGTCTTGGCCCATCTGTCTATTGGTTTCTCTCTGATATAAGGATAAATGTAGGTGTGTATATACAGTATTCTGTACTGTGTGTATGTGCACATGGATTAGGGTGACCAGGTGTCCCGATTTTATAGGGACAGTCCCGATTTTTAGGTCTTTTTCTTATATAGCTCCTATTACCCCCCACCCCCCGTCCAAATTTTTCACACTTGCTATCTGGTCACCCTAACATGGATACACATATGCATAGAAAACCTGATCAATTAAAAGACTCCCTGTGACTTCACTGGGCTTTGGATGACGCCCATATACAGTAAGCAGTCAATTTGTTGTTCATTGTTGGACGCTCTTGGACCCAGATTTTCTAGACTCTTTTTCTCTTTAAATTTATGCTAGGATGGACAAACTTGTCGTTATGACTTTGAATCCACTCAGATATCATAGGTCCACAGACTGCTTCATACTGAATGTTACTGGTTTTGCATTACGCTATGGAAAAAGGAACAAAAAGAGGAGAGTGGGAGAGAAGTCAGGTGAACAGTGGAACAGAAAGCAGACAGAATGGGGACAGGGTTGTGGGAGAAGACTGACGAAAGCTACAGAGAAAGAAAAAGAATTCTACTGGACAAATATGGGATGTACAACATCTGTTTGTGCCAGTCTCACTTGTGGAGTTTCTTCTATTCCCCAATACATAGAACAGCCTCTGCTTTAAGTAGAAGTTGCTGAGTTAGATATATGAAAATAATAATAGGAGTAACTGGGTGAAATCTGCCACCTGTTATACAGGAGATCAGATAATGGTCCCTTCTGTCTTTAGAATCAATGAATAAAAAAAGATTTTTTTAACAGGATGCCCTTTAAAAATATAGGTTTAAAACAGGAGGGCAAATAGTCAGTTTCTGAAAATTGTATCCAGGGCTGACCAAAAATTTACATCTAAGCTATTTTTTGACAGAAAATTGGGTTTTCAAGTAACTGCAACCTTCACTAGAAGTTTCTGCTTTCCATAGAAATTTTTGACTATTATTTAAAAAAAACAACAACAAATCCTGAAAACCAAAAGCTTTCCATTTTTGATTTTTGACAAAAAGTTGAAATGTTTGGCAGAAAAAAACCCAGGCATTTTCTGACAAGCTCTACTCACCCATTAGCCTGAAACCCAAGAGTGTGGATCTATTATAACTACAATGCTAACTTCAGAGATCAAGAAGTAAGCATGTTTCAACCCCTCCAGAGTTGGACTCCTCTGGAGCCCATCAACCAGTTCACTGGTCAGTGTGCTATTATATATACAAAAAATGTCTCATGTTTTCTGTCTTTGGAATTCAGCTTCAAAATTGTGTGAAATTATTTTGGAGTTTAATTTTCTTAAATTTGTTTTTATAAATAACATACTTGGGCAAAGGGAGAGGCTGTCTGAGTTTTCTGGAGAGGTGGATAATTTCTCCAATGAGCTAAAAGAATGAGTCATTTGTAAGTGGAGTGAGAACCCTCAGCCCCAGTTGCATCTTCAGTTCCTCTTCTTTCATATTTCTTCTTTCTGCGTCCATGTTTCTCTGACACATGCATTGCCTCTACGACCCCCAAGAATGAATGTCTAGGTCTGGGATTGCAAAGCAGATTTAAATGAAAATATATCAAATTTAGATTTGTTTTTATTTTTTTCCTGACTCTCTTGGCAGTAATAAATGAAGAGGAATTTGTAAAAAATAGCCTTATGTTTGTTAATTACTTACTTGAATGTAATTATCCTTGGACTACTTTTGCAGGAATGGCAAGGAATGTATTACGCCAAAAAGAAAAATGGAGATAGCATACAACAAAATGTGAAGATAATACCTGTCATCGGACAGGGAGGGTAAGTGCAAAAGTTAAGTACCTTGTCAATATGTATTTGAGGTATGATACAATGCTCAATGAAGTCAGAAACTCCCATTGGCTTCAGTGGGTCTTGCATCAGTCTTTATTGCTTTCTAAGTGAAATTCATCCCTGCAGAGCTGGAAGCTTGCAGTGGGACAGATCCACCACTTAAGTTCTCAGGGTAAAATCCACTTTACTCACATAATGCTCTGCTAATTGCACTGTATGCAAGGGAAGTGAAATCCAAACCCCAGTGCAGATCCAGGGTTTGGGCCAAGCTCCCTGTGACTATTATTCCAGCCTGCGGGATAGAGTGGTGCGTGCTCCCATTATGCCTTGTGTTGAGGCCACTGGAGGGGCCACATAAACCTAGAGCCTGTGTTCCCTCCCATCATCTCCATCCATGCTGGCCTATGCAAGGCTGGTGTGCAGACTGGTTCTGTGGTGCAGCGACTGGATCTGTGTAGGTCCTTTACACTTACATCCCAGGTGAACTTGGCCCAAAGGGAGCTAACATTCCTTACTCAGGCAAAATTCCCGTTTTCCAGCACTTCCATTCGGCCATTGACTGAGACGTTTAGAGCAGAATGGTAAATATTGATTATTAGAACATTTATGGTAAGTCCACCTATGCAATTTCAATAAAGAAAGGGGGACCAGCTGGCACATATTGTAGCAATCCCCAAACTCTCTGGGAATTTTCCAAACATGCACCTTACCTTATGCCTTAGTTCCTCCTATTCTACTGAAGCATCAGGCAGTCCAGTTCCTCCATTGATTATCATCACTTGCTAGTTGTGATGCTTCTTCCTAGGTGATGCCAGTGGAAAACATGCAGAGTTATTAAAATAATATGGGCTTGATGATATAAGAGTACACGTTCCTCCGGAAACCCCCAGTTTTGTATGTCCCTTCCTTCTCAGTTGATCTGTCTTACCATGAAGGAAAGGTTATATGCAACTTCTTTCCTATCCAACAAACATTATAGGTTAATTAAGTGAGCAGTGGAAACTCCACTCTTTATAGGCAGAAGAAGTGGGATGTTTTAAATTGCTGGCATCCCTCGGTAGTAATTCATACTCTCTATTCTCCATCAGTGGAGCAAAAGCATCTGGCAGCTTGTGATACAAAGCAAAGGAGATGGACCCATACTCATGTATACATTACCTGAGTACAAAGCAAATGTGGTTGGCACAGGGAGTGTCATGCCGATCTGGAGGCATTTAGGATGGTACTAGCCTAGGTGATTGCTCCACCCCTAATCCCTATAATCTGTCTGTCTGGACCTACATCATTGCAGATGCACCAGCCACATCATACACCTAAACTTCCCCCAGCAGCAGCAGAGAATGAGCCCACATAGCATGGCTATACAGCACACACATCCCACCCTCCCTCCCTCCTGCCCTCCCGTGCAGCTGAACTGCATTGGTTCCATGCCCTCACAGAGTACAATTTGTTCTGGATGGATTTATTGCTAGTATGGATCTTGTAAATTTAAAATGCCGCTAGATGTGAATCAGAGCTGGGAATTGGTGCGACAATAACGCATTGTTTTTTGCCTACAGAAAGATTAGACACTATGTGTCAATTAGTAGACTGTGCAATGACAACAATAAGGTAAGAAAAAAGGTGACTTGTCCATTTTAGTTTAAGCAGAAAATATCACAGCGTGATCAGGAAATTGATTAACTGGATTTTCTTATATTGATTTGTAGGCAGAAAGAATATGTGAACGTGTTCAGGCTGAATCTCAGACAGGTACGTGATTGCATTTTTGTCACAAGAAGCATGGGATGTATGCAGGAAAAGATTAGATAGATTCGCTAAGATCAGACTCAAACACGGGTTGCAAAGCGCAGTGAAAACAATAATATTTAGATAGCAATAAAATGTATTCCTGGGGGAGACAAAATAAATGCGAGTTATCTATGCCAGGCAAATTTGTTTCAGCAGTAACATAAATCAAACAAACCTTGAAAATGTAATGTGTCTGTGTTAGAACCAAGAGTGGGTACCACATTTGGCTCTATTTCACATTCCAATCGTAGGTAGTGTAGTTGATGCAATCTCTATGACTAGATTAGAAATGTCAAGGACACCATCGAGATGGAATTACGTCATGGCTAATATAATTCATGGCATGCACCTTTTGCTTCTTTATTAAAGATCTGTTGCTTTTGCTATTTTGGGATATTGCACATGGATGGATATGATGATGAATGCACATCATTTAGGGCTTGGTCCTGCTCCCATTGAAGTTCATAGCAAAACTCTCCTGGGCTTCTATGGGCCTTAGAGTTCCAGAGTTTACAGGGTGGTTTCAATCCCAAATCAATCTGTTTATATTCTGAACAATTATGATTAGGAAACTCCCAGTTGGTTTTTTATTTAATTTAAATTAAAACCCAGATAACTGCCTCCTCCCCTTTAAAAAAAAATACTGAAGTATTCTAGCAGGATTTGCCCCAAACATTACAGCTTCCAGTAATGCCACTTCAGGATCTGGGGCAGTGCTGCAGGAGACAGCAGTACATTTTAACAAAGGTACCCATATAGCCCGTGTGCCTCTAGCCTCCTTTCCACCTGAAGCAGGAGGTGTGTGGGACCAAGTTATGCTATTCCACTTTCTGCTACAAACAGAAAAGCAGAGGGATCAAACCCACATTCCTCATGTGCCTCTGGTGGAAGCCATCTTCCATTGGAGGGTGTGGGGGAACAATGAGGTAGCTTAGGGAGTAAATCAGAAGAAATCAATACCCTAGCACTCCAGGGCGTTCTGTACAAGCAGCCACAGGGGATTTTGCTGTCTAACTCTACTCTCTCCTGCCTGGCGGTCTTCAGACACACATACCCCATCAGTGCTGGGATTTGCCCCTCCAGTATTGGCACTTTAGAGGACTTAAAATAAATCCTTTGTTCATCCTCTCCTCTCTGCCAAGCCCTTGGGCTCTGCTTATAATTCAGCTCCCCTTTTGATCTTCCCAGCCTAAACTAGTTCCTTTGAAGGGATGAAGGAGTATGTCCACCCACACTTAGAGTCCTAAACTGCAACTCTCTGTCTGCTCCTTGTTGTACTCAGCAGTAATGCCCCCATCCCCTGCCTTAGGCAATCTCAGCTCACAGACAAACATTTAACTGGTATGAGTCAATTAAAACTAAAAAACAAGCAATGGGCCAAACCCTGTCCTCGGTTATCCTTGTGTAACCACTTTCTGTGCTAATTAACCCACATGCAATGGGACTGTGCTAATTAACCCACATGCAATGGGACTGTGTGGGCCTAAATGAGCTCAGAAATTGCCCTATTGACTTAAGTCACTGTATCTGCCTTTCAGTTCCCCCATCTGTAAAACAGGGAGAACAGACTCCCTCCCATAGGCTGTTCTGAGGATTAAGTAGGTAATGTCTATACATATGTCAAGGTTGGCTTACTAAGTATTATTATTTGTACAGTCCAACAACTCTTGCATGAAGCCATTTAATGGTGATTTTCTCAGATGTGGAATATTCAGACATCGAGAACTCTTGTCTACTGAAGTTTCTATCTTGCCTTAGAGCCAAATGCTTTCTGCCTCTGGCATGAAACACATCTAGTTCAGGGGGTAGCCTTAAAGACAATGCAGACTCCGCCCGGAGTTTGAGGGGTTGGTAGGGGTGGGATAGGGAAATGATCATCAGCTTCACCACTGTGTAAACCCATAGGACCTAAGGAGGAGCTCTGTGTAGTTCGGAAGCTTGTCTCTCTCACCAACAGAAGTTGGTCCGGTAGAATGTATTACCTCACCCACCTTGTCTCTCTAGATCCGTAATGGATTTTCAGGGCCCCTCTGACTTCTGCAGCTCTATTACTGGCAGTGCTGTGGCTGAACACCATTCTGCACCAATGCAGTGGGTTAAGAGAGGACTCTCGGTGCTCTTAGATCCTCTACACAAAGGCCATATACTTTTGCATCTTTGCTTGAGGCAAGAGCAGCATTCAGAGACTATGATGTGGGAGCATCCATGGCAAGACCAGTGTGAATACAGTTCTAAGAAGCTGTTTTCCAACCAACTGTAGCATTATGCATGTTGTTCCGCTGCTACCAAGCTTTTACCTGTCTTTAGTTTCCTTTAACATATAATCTGGGAAGAGCCTTTGTTGCAGTCATTGTATAACATTGATGTCTCCACAGATATTCAGACTTGCCGACACAAAGATAGGAGGAAAGGATCGCTCGATGTCAGATCCACAACCTCAAGAGGAAGTGATGGTATGTTAGATAAGTGGATGTTTGTATATTTTTCACATGGCTTTTAAAAACCCCCAAGCCATGAATATTTCATATTTATGCAACTACCCCATGTGTTTTGCCTCTGAACAATATTTTTTATACTACTTTTTTGAAACCTTTAGAAATGAAAGGCCAGATTCCGCCACCCTTACTAACGTTGGGTAGCACTTACTGTCATGAGTAATCCCATAGAATTCATAGAGCTACTCACAAAGTAAGTTACTCTTCATCATTAGTAAAGGTAGCAGATTCTGGGGCCCCCACAAGTATTGGGGTTTGTTCTAGTTTCCCTACTTATTCTTCCCATGAAAGTCAAAGTTAAATTTCTTCTTATTTTTTGTTTGCTTTATTTGCACTGTGTTGTGTCATACATCAGGGAGTTACACTTCATCATGGCATTTTACCCTTCACATACTGCAGGGTTTTGCTGGTGTTTATAAAGCTTCTGTTAAAACGTGTATCAGTACATTCTAGGCAACGGTCAAAGTCTGGTGAAAATTTGAAGTAACAGATTTACTTCTAATTTTCACCAGACTTTGACCATTGCTACAAAAATAGCCTGGATTCTGATGCTGAAGATGTGCTCAGCACAAAGAGTAGCAGAGAAGTAGCCACATCTTACAGGTTACAAAACAGGAAGTAGCCTAGTTTGGCCTTTGCTGCCAAAAATTGCTAATTGACACAAAAGAGGTATGTTTTCCAGTCCCTGATTAATAACATCGGTTGTTACGGGCTAGAATCTCAGTTGGCATAGCTCCTCATCACTGCATTAAGTTCAAAGAACCTACACTGATTTACACCAGTTGATGATCTGACTCATTGTGTCTTGTCATGTATTACACCCTTGTAGTATTACAGGCCCCTCCTCGCCCCCCCAAAAGCAACGTACATATGGCGCTTGTGGCTGAACATTTTATAAAATATTTAAAATATAAAAACAGCAACTATCTTGCCAGGCCATTATGGCTACTTATCTCTGTTCTGTTTTGTTGGTGATTCAGCGTGCATCTATGTGGGCATCCTTATCAGCATAGCAGGACATGTGTGCATATGCATGCTGTTATAGGTGGTCCTGAAGGTCATGGCAAACGAGGAATTCTTGGCTAACTCTGGATGTCATGCATTGTCATTTCAATCAGGGTGCTCATTTTGCTTTGTTTTCTGCACAGGCAGTTCACAGAGGCGACACTCCTCAATGGCCAGGATACATTCCATGACTATTGAAGCACCCATCACCAAGGTAATGCACCATTGCTGGTGTTCATGAAGTCAGACAATCAGAATTTACTTGGATTTTTTTTCTGAAATACTATGGCAGAAACCCTCTGCACAACACCTGGCCTGAGTAGCTGGGCCACATGCAATGGCTGTAGAAGCTTATGCTGGCCCTTACACCATGTCTTCCCTTCCTCCCATCTCCCACAGTGAGTGACTGGGAAGATCCAGGAAGTGGCAAATGCTCTGTTCCCAATCCACCCTTGCCTGCCCATACTGTCCCCTGCCTGTCCCCTCTGCCTGCCACATAGGGGTGTGCACCCTCTGCATCTCTCTCCACATTCAGCTCCCACTTTAGCACAGTCACACTGGTTCTGTTGCCTGGAGGCACTCTGCCCATGCAAAGGAAGGGACTGGATTTCCCTTACATACATATTCATTGTAATGCATAGGGGCTGACTTTTATTTTTCCCTGGAGGTGCTCTGCCCTCAGGTCCTGCCCCCACTCTGCCCCCTCTCCCGAGGCCCCACTCTCACTCTGCCTCTTCCCGCTCCACTCCAACCCCTCCCCTGAGGCCCTCACCTGCCTGACACTCGCTGCTCTCTGCCCTCCCCCAGCCACCAAACAGCTGATTGGTGCTGAGCACCCACTATTTTTTTCCTGTGGATGTTCGAGCCCTGGAGCACCCACAGAGTCAGTGCCTGTGTTGTAATGTATCTCAAGAAACCACTCAAGAGACCAACAAATATCAGTTGCTTAATAAAGTGACTTTCTGATAAAGATAGAAGAGGATTGTACTGGGTCTGTTTGGAGATACTTTGGGCCAGTGTCTTAAGACAGGAAGTTGCCTAATAAGAATGGCCTCTTTAAAACCTTGATCCTCCCAAAGTCAATAAAAAAACCTCAGTGTTTCACTATTGATCCCCTAGAGATTTCACAGTAGTTCTACACGATCTGGATTAAATACTGCTATGTTTAGTAGCGATGACTTCTCATATTAGTCACTGAGAATCTCTCTTTTCTTCAATCACTTCTAAATTTCAAGAGTTTCTTATATTAACCTAGGTAATAAATATTATCAATGCTGCACAAGAAAGCAGTCCCATGCCTGTCGCAGAAGCTTTAGATCGAGTGTTGGAGATTCTAAGAACCACTGAGTTATACTCTCCACAACTTGGGACAAAAGATGAAGATCCACATACGAGTGATCTCGTTGGAGGATTAATGACAGTGAGTACATATGATGGCAAACAATTGCTGACATAAATGCTGGGGCCTGGATTCTCCGTGCACTTACTTCAGTTTACATCAGTGTAACTCCATTGATTTGAATGGAATCACTCCTGATTTACACTGTTACAAGTGAAAGGAGGATCAGGTCCCTTGATTCTTTTTATTAATGGACTACTCAAGTATACGTATTAAAGTTCTGTGCGTAAGTTGGGAGCCCAAACTGCATCATATGATGCACGCATGGGAGGCAGGGGAGATTGTGCAGGAGGTGGAGGGGGCAGGCTTCTGGGGGAGGCATAGGGTGGGTGCAGGTGCCTACAGAGGTCGGGGAGGGGGTTGTGAGGGAGGTTGGGGAGGAGTAGTGGCTGCCTGCAGGAGGTTGGAAGGCAGGGGTGCCCTAGTTCACTCTCACTCCCTGTCGGGGCCAGATGGCTGGTGCCCAGTCAACCCCACATCTTCCCTGCCAAGCCCAGTGAGACAGGAGGCTGCTCTCCATTGTCAAGTCTGGCTCTCCTGTAGTGCACACGCACAGAGGTCTCTCTGAGCCCAGCTGCCCTGCGGCCTGCCTGACCTGAACAGACTACATCAGTGTAGCTCGCACCAGCAGGATCTATATGGGGCATTAGAGCACCACACGTTAGTGCTCTCTGCACTTCGTGCCCCTGTAGACCAGTCTGCATCCCCATGTAAAATTGCTTCTCCCAGAAATCTGCCACCCTGAGGCAGTTGTCTAGTTTGCCTACAGCTTAAGTGGCCTTTGCATCTACTCTTTGAATTGGTACATATCACTGACTCATTGCTCACTTCATTCCATCTGAACCAACCTCTGCAAATGTGTGTTCTGATCCCACACAACCCTCAACGTCTGTCCATGATCATATGGCATAAGGATTCACAGAAAGTTAGTGTACCATAATATACAAAATCCTCACTGGATATAGAACAAAAACTTTTACAAGGCAAAGGGAGAGTCAGAGAAGGGATGTTTCAGAGGATGAATGTATAGTATATATTGATTTTGAAAATGATCTACAAGAAACATTTGTTCAGCAAAGGAGTTGAAGAATGATTAGGGGTGTAGAACACATGACTTATGAGGAGAGGCTGAGGGAGCTGGGATTGTTTAGCCTGCAGAAGAGAAGAATGAGGGGGGATTTGATAGCTGCTTTCAACTACCTGAAAGGGGGTTCCAAAGAGGATGGCTCTAGACTGTTCTCAATGGTAGCAGATGACAGAACGAGGAGTAATGGTCTCAAGTTGCAGTGGGGGAGATTTAGATTGGATATTAGGAAAAACTTTTTCACTATGAGGGTGGTGAAACACTGGAATGCGTTACCTAGGGAGGTGGTAGAATCTCCTTCCTTAGAGGTTTTTAAGGTCAGGCTTGACAAAGCCCTGGCTGGGATGATTTAACTGGGAATTGGTCCTGCTTCGAGCAGGGGGTTGGACTAGATGACCTTCTGGGGTCCCTTCCAACCCTGATATTCTATGATTCTATGGAAGATTAAATTATTCCATCTCATGTACAAACGGCATTATATTGATAATCTGGCAACACAAGCAGAGGATGCAGCTGCTCATGGTGAACAAGGAACCATCTACAAAATGACACGGCTTATCCGTGGTAAATGGCAGACACCAACAAACTCTCTCATCAGGAACAAACAAGGACACCTACTAATAACCAAAGAAGAACAAGAAATGTGCTGGACAGAGCATTTCAAAGAATTGCTGAACAGGGAGTCGCCTAAAGAGGAAGCAAACATCCAGGAGGCAGAAGAAGATCTTGGTATCAACACAGACACCCCAACTAAGAAAGAGATTATTCAAGCCATCAGATCCTTAAAAAATAGGAAAGCTCCTGGCAAGGATAACTTGAATGCAGAATTGTTCAAGGTAAATCCTAAATTAGCAGTATCTATCCTGGTCCCTCTATTTACATCAGTCTGGGAAAGGGAAAAAGTGCCAGATGAGTGGACCAATGGGGTTATAGTGAAGATGCCAAAGAAAGGAACTCTCAGTGATTGTAATAACTAGCGTGGTATCACACTTTTATCTCTGCCAAGCGAAGTATGGTTGTAAGATGGATCGGCAACCTTTGGCACGCAGCCTGTCAGGGAAATCCACTGGCGGGCTGGGCCGGTTTGTTTACCCGCAGCGTCGGCAGGTTCGGCCGATCACAGCTCCCACTGGCCATGGTTCGCCGTTCCAGGCCAATGGGGGCTGCGGGAAGTGGTAGCCAGCATATCCCTCAGCCCGCGCCACTTCCCGCAGCCCCCATTGGCTTGGAACGGTGAATCACAGCCAGTGGGAGCTGCGATTGGCCGAACCTGCGGACGCTGCAGGTAAACAAACCATCCCGGCCTGTCAGCGGATTTTCCGGATGGGCCGCATGCCAAAGGTTGCCGATCCCTGGTGTAAGATCGTAGTCCAGCATATATTATAGGCAGTTGATAGTGTTCTCAGAAAAGAGCAAGCTGGTTTTCAGAAAGGGCGTGGATGCACAGACAAGATCTTCACTCTACGAAGCATAAATAGAACAGTGCTTAGAATGGCAACAGCAACTCTACATACATTTCATAGACTTTGAGAAGGCTTTTGATAGCATTCACAGGACCAGCCTATGGTTCATTCTGCAGGCATATGGAATTCCTTTCCATATAATCAATGTCATCAAATCTTCTATTTCAACTTTACATGCAGTGTTGATCGCAGTGAGCTCAGTTTTGAAGTCAAAACAGGAGTACATCAGGGGTGTGTCATGTCTGCAATCCTTTCAATATTGCCATCGACTGGGTAATGCGGTGTACAACAGAAGACATGGCAAGAGGCATTAAATGGACACTCTTTTCATCCCTTGAAGACCTGGACTTCGCTCTTCTATCACATACCCAACATGATATACAAGAAAAAACACCTTGACTCAACCCATTCAGCCAGCAAATTGGACTGAACATCAATCGCAATAAGACAGATATCATGGCCTTTAATATTGCCTCACTATCACCAGTACGGATAAAGAACTATGTTCTCACCAATGTAGAAACATTCACATACTTGGGCAGCACCATCAGCCAGGAAGGTGGAACAAGCCAGGACATCCGGAACAAAATCAATAAAGCCAGGAACACCTTCAGGTGTTTAAATACAGTCTGGAAATCAGCAAAATACAACACCAGAACCAAACTCAAGATTTATCAGAGCTGCGTACTTTCAACACTACGTTATAGTGCAGAATGCCGGGGAATGAGAAAGTCTGACATGTCCAGACTGTCTTCATTCCATACAACCTGCCTCCGAAAAATCCTCCGTATCTTTCAGCCCAGAACAATCTCAAACCTAGATCTATTGACACAGTGCAGCCAAGAGGATCTGAGTACCATCGTTGCCAGGAGTCATTGGAGATGGATTGGTCATGTGCTTCGGATGGAAACTGATTCCATCACTAGAGTAGCAATAAGATGGACACCTGAAGGCAAGTGAAAACGAGGCTGCTGGAAAACAACATGGCAAAGAGCTGTGGAAGCCGAGCTGAAAAACCTGGGGCACAGCTGGGGAACCATTGAAAGACTTGCCAGAAACAGACAGGAGTGGAGGAGCTTCGTCACTGCCCTAAATGCCAGAGGCATAATAGGAATATGATGATGATCTCATGTACAAGAGACTGTCTCTGTGTGTCATTTAGGCTATTATTATTTGAATGTTATTAAACTCAATGTGGGAATGGCATTCAAAATCAGAACATAGATTTGCCAGCTGTAATCGGATCTGGTATCTCAACTGTAACAAAATCTAGCCCTTTATTCTCAAGGACACTCTGAGTCTGGTGTCTTGAATATTTGTGTCACAGCAGTGCTATTGAAGAAATGTTTAACTTGCTTTAACAGCAGGACAGCCTTCCCCATAAGTCACAAAACTCCAGACTAATTTACTTACAAACCTTAAAATAGAAACTAGATGTAATAATTCTTATAAGTGCAGACATTACACAGGTCAGATATGGCATCTAGATTTGCCTCTGTTGTACACTAGTCATATAATGTTATTAGTAAGTTAGAAAGGTGTGTTTATAAAGGGTTTTTTTTAACAACTAGTTTATACATACAGGGCCAACATTAATTCACTACATCTAAAAGATGTTGGGCTAAATCCTGCTTGCATCTGTGAAGCAAGCAGGAATTGATCCAATATTGTTAAACTGATGAGTTTAAGGGTAAATATCAAATACATAATTCTGTTTATTTTAACCACTAAGGGCAAGATTGTGCCTTTAAATACCACCCCAGAATTAAACAAGGGAGGCACTGACCCTCAGGTATATATCTCTGAGGCACATTTCCTTCCTGCTTTCTCCTTGCCCACAGTAAAATGTTGCTGGCCTGAACTAGCAGCAAGTCACAAGAGCCACTGTACTGGGCTTCCAGGAGAGGTGGGTGGAGCCAACCCTCTGCCTGTTTCCTACTACTGCTCACCCACTTGCTCTACAGGTAGTGCGTGGACACATCCAGACCCAAGGTCCAGATAGCACATACAAAAAGATGGAAGTAGATTTTTTGCTTTGGGCATATTGTCTGAAACCACAATACCGGGCTTAAGAAATTACTGCTCAGATAGAACCTAGTTAATTTTGTGATCTGCATCTTGCTATCTTCCTTCCATTATGATCTACCAAGGTGGTGAAGTATTTGTATAGGCATATCTAAAACATTTTGATCTAGACAAAGACAGACAAAGACAGATAAGATAGCTTCTAAGGCTGAAACAGGACATAGTCAAGCTTATGTAGAATCATTGCACTATTACTTAGTGCCATGTTAGATAACTTACACAGTACTTTACATTTGGAACAGAGAGTACATGAGAACTTTTTTGATTAATCAATTTTTATTTAACAGGATGGTTTACGAAGATTATCAGGGAATGAATACATATTGTCAGCAAAACGTAAGTTTTCTCTTTGAAGTTTTGGGGATGCTAAAAATTGTGATCTAACAGATTTCAGAAACATAGTAAATGTTTTGATCAAATGTTCCAAGGACTTTTTATTTTTTTATTTATACGCAATTTTCTACTGCATTACAAACAGCAGCAGGGGAATTGCTCAGAATGTTTAAGGTTTTTCAGAGAAGAGAGGCCACAGTGTTTAGTAAAAGTTGTATCATAGTAAATTAATTTTATTCCCCAAATATATTCCTTAACAGAAACTCATCAGGTTCCTGGCAGTTTGATCTCCCCTATCTCCCTTAATGACATCCCACCACGGATAGCACAAGCAATGGAAAATGAAGAATACTGGGACTTTGATATCTTTGAACTGGAGGCTGCAACCCATAAAAGGTTAGTAAGGCAAAAGAATTGCCAGTTAAAGCTACCAAGAATTAGCTGCTGCTTCGTCATCATACTCAGCATTTTAATTTCTCTTTCTCTACTTTTCAAATTGGGATCCCTTTTTTCAAAAGGAGAACATGTGTAACTTCCTCATTTGCGCATGTCTCTTGCCTTCTTACTTGCTTCCCATACTTTTAAGTACCTTCTGCATTATCACAAATTTATTTTCTGAAGATTTCTACAGAGAAATACTGGCTGGATCTGAAGCCCTCATATATCTTTTGATGAGGCTTTGAAAAAAGGCAACGCCATTTTGCAAGCCTTCCCTTTTTTTTCACATTATTAGAAAAAATCTTGACAGATCTGGCTGTTGGAGTCTGGGGATCCAAATTATATCCATTTTGAACTACAAACTACGTGCAATGTCAGTTTACTGAGCTTACAGAAAGGGTTGATAGATCACACCTTATTTCTGCTCCTTGTAGCCAGAGTGTATCTATTTCTAAAAACGTTGACTTCAACTGGGAGTAGAAGAAGGGCCCCAATTCTATAAACTCAACAAACTACACTTTTGTTCATACTGCAACGTACAGACTCCTTATCTGTCATTGCAAGAGTTGTAACAGATTCTAATATACTTCAGTAGCAGCAAATGCAATAATTAACCCTATAACTTCATTATAAATCTCTGTTTTTACTTGTTGATACCTGTTAAAATTTCCCTGTGGGGCTGAAATTTTCTATGCTTTGTCTTGGCCTAAAGGTGAAATATACTTTTGGAAATCTATTACATCTGTTCTATGTTTCTTCTGATATCATTTGAGATTCCAAAAGATTATAATTTAGGGGCTAGATCCTGCAAAGTACTGATTATCTTACTTTCAGGTTGAAGCCCTTTATCTTTACCCAGGTTTATTTGAGCTCTTTTCTGCATAAGCCACACACAAAAAAATCCCCCAAAACACATCACAACAAAATTCCCCCCCCCCCCAAAAAAAAAAACCCACCAAAATACAAACATATGCATTTGGAAAAAATCTGATGTTTTATTATTCCTTAAAATGACATTGTAACTTTATATTTTATTGCAAATGGAGAAACTTATGTCCAAAATGTTATGCCTTTTCCTTTGCCTTATGTTTCCATAAGTAAAGAGGTTACAGATACAAATACTTTTAAACAAAAGGTAGTCAGTCGATGTGAATTAATGTGTTAAATGTGAACTTTGCAGTTAATGAAGAGTTAATTATGTCACCGTCAATATGTATAGGCTAACTAGGTAGTTTCTGGTTTCAGAGTAGCAGCCGTGTTAGTCTGTATCCGCAAAAAGAAAAGGAGTACTTGTGGCACCTTAGAGACTAACAAATGTATTAGTCTCTAAGGTGCCACAAGTACTCCTTTTCTTTTTAGGTAGTTTCTGTGTTTCTACTGGGAAAAGGCAAAAGGTGATAGATTGTTGCAGCTTTCTCTAATTAAAAGAATTATAATTTAGATTGCTCACATGTTCTTTCATATTCTTTCTACGTTTAAATAAAAGCTAACCATTTGTTAAGAAAATTCAAGTGAGCGTTCTGTGAATCACAACTGTGAATAAGTTATTAGTGCTCTTTTTCAAGTCCAAGTAGTCATATGGAAGTGGTGCCAAGACAAAAAGCTCATTAAATCTAAACTCAGTGCTGTAAGAGTGACAGTTCCCTGATACAGAAGCATAGTGAGCTCTCTGCCTACTAATGCTATATAGTAATAACTCTCCTAGCTTCCACACATGTGAGGATAGTTTGATTTAAAGGCCAGATGTTCTAGCATGTTATGGTGATAGTATTTAAGTAGACCAAAACTTTCAAACATGCCTACCGTTGGTGAGAGAGACAAGCTTTCGAGCCATACAGAGCTCTTCTTCAGGTCTGGGAAAGATGCTCCCAGCATCACAGCAAATGCAAGGGATTTGGATAGGGGGTTAGAAACTGGGGCACACTCCCTGGATGGGGGCATTGAGTGCTGGGGGGCAGTCCTTGGGGGGGATGCTGGGTGCATGGGGAGCAGTTCCTAGGTGGCGGACTGGATGCTGGAGGGGACAGTCTCTGAGGGAGCCATTCTGCCTTGGTCAGAGCACCCTATTTCTGCAGGAAAGGAAAGTGTGCCAGCCCAGTGTTGGGGCCGGTCTGGATGCCGGGGGGGAAAGTCCCAGTGAGGTTGCGTGATTGGGGGAATTCCCTGGCTGGAGGGGGGGGGGGGGTTGGGGTGGAGGTGGGGAACAGTCCCTGGGTTCATGGGGAGCTGGATGCATGGTGGGGACTGGGTGCGCAGGGTCAGTCTCTGGCTGGGGGAGTACCCCCTCTTGGCAGGCGGGTTCTGAAGCTGTGCTCTCCAGGTACTCAGCCCAACAGCAGCGCAGAAGTGAGGGTGGCAATATGCCGTGCCACCCTCACAATAAACTAATTCATTTTAACAGGTAACGTTTTGACTTATTTTGCTCATTTAAAATGCTTGTGGTAGACATTTGCCAGTGTTGAAATGAAAGGTGCTATATCAATTTGAACCATATTATTGTCATATGACAAATATTAAATGTTGGGTTTTTTTTGTAGATGTGCAGGTAGTATATATATTGTGTGGATGCGGCCCACATAACACACAGGGAGCTGCATATGCAGCCCACAATGGTAAATAGGTTGAAAACCGCTGATCTAGGTACTCACAAATGAGTAAAAAGAAAAGGAGGACTTGTGGCACCTTAGAGACTAACAATTTATTTGAGCATAAGCTTTCATGAGCTACAGGAAGTGAGCTGTCGCTCATGAAAGCTTATGCTCAAATAAATTTGTTAGTCTCTAAGGTGCCACAAGTCCTCCTTTTCCTTTTGCAGATACAGACTAACACGGCTGCTACTCTGAAACCTGTCACAGATGAGTGTTTCCAGTATTTCTCCGGGTATTGAAGTTAGGCTGACAGGTCTATAATTCTCCGGGTCCTTTGTTCCCCTTTTTAATGCTGCAGGTACAATGTTTGCCCTTCTCCAGTCCTCTGGGACTTCACCATTCCTCCATAAGTTTGTGAATATAGTTGCTAATAGTTCCAAGATTGCTTCAGCCTGTTCCTTAGGTATCTTAGGATGAATTTCATAAGGCCCTGCCAACTGGAATACATCTAATTTATCTAAATAGTCTTTAATTTGTTCTTTCTCTATTTTGGTTTGTGTTCCTTCCCCTTGTTAATGTTAATTCTGTTGAGTATCCGGTCATCAAGCCAAGGAAAGTGTGGGCCCCTTACTGAATGAGGGAGGCAACCTAGTGACAGAGGATGTGGAAAAAGCTAATATACTCAATGCTTTTTTTGCCTCTGTTTTCACTAACAAGGTCAGCTCCCAGACTGCTGCGCTGGGCATCACAAAATGGGGAAGAGATGGCCAGCCCTCTGTGGAGATAGAGGTGGTTAGGGACTATTTAGAAAAGCTGGACGTGCACAAGTCCATGGGGCCGGACGAGTTGCATCCGAGAGTGCTGAAGGAATTGGCGGCTGTGATTGCAGAGCCATTGGCCATTATCTTTGAAAACTCGTGGCGAACGGGGGAAGTCCCGGATGACTGGAAAAAGGCTAATGTAGTGCCAATCTTTAAAAAAGGGAAGAAGGAGGATCCAGGGAACCACAGGCCAGTCAGCCTCACCTCAGTCCCTGGAAAAATCATGGAGCAGGTCCTCAAAGAATCAATCCTGAAGCACTTGCATGAGAGGAAAGTGATCAGGAACAGCCAGCATGGATTCACCAAGGGAAGGTCATGCCTGACTAATCTAATTGCCTTTTATGATGAGATTACTGGTTCTGTGGATGAAGGGAAAGCAGTGGATGTATTGTTTCTTGACTTTAGCAAAGCTTTTGACACGGTCTCCCACAGTATTCTTGTCAGCAAGTTAAGGAAGTATGGGCTGGATGAATGCACTATAAGGTGGGTAGAAAGCTGGCTAGATTGTCGGGCTCAACGGGTAGTGATCAATGGCTCCATGTCTAGTTGGCAGCCGGTATCAAGTGGAGTGCCCCAAGGGTCGGTCCTGGGGCCGGTTTTGTTCAATATCTTCATAAATGATCTGGAGGATGGTGTGGATTAAACTCTCAGCAAATTTGCGGATGATACTAAACTGGGAGGAGTGGTAGATACGCTGGAGGGGAGGGATAGGATACAGAAGGACCTAGACAAATTGGAGGATTGGGCCAAAAGAAATCTGATGAGGTTCAATAAGGATAAGTGCAGGGTCCTGCACTTAGGATGGAAGAATCCAGTGCACCGCTACAGACTAGGGACCGAATGGCTAGGCAGCAGTTCTGCGGAAAAGGACCTAGGGGTGACAGTGGACTAGAAGCTGGATATGAGTCAGCAGTGTGCCCTTGTTGCCAAGAAGGCCAATGGCATTTTGGGATGTATAAGTAGGGGCATAGCGAGCAGATCGAGGGACGTGATCGTTCCCCTCTATTCGACATTGGTGAGGCCTCATCTGGAGTACTGTGTCCAGTTTTGGGCCCCACACTACAAGAAGGATGTGGATAAATTGGAGAGAGTCCAGCGAAGGGCAACAAAAATGATTAGGGGTCTAGAACACATGACTTATGAGGAGAGGCTGAGGGAGCTGGGATTGTTTAGCCTGCAGAAGAGAAGAATGAGGGGGGATTTGATAGCTGCTTTCAACTACCTGAAAGGGGGTTCCAAAGAGGATGGCTCTAGACTGTTCTCAATGGTAGCAGATGACAGAATGCTCCTGCTCCTAATGTATTTAAAGAACCTCTTCTTATTGCCTTTTATGTCCCTTGCCATTTTGTGGCTTAGCCTTTCTGATTTTGTCCCTACATGCTTGTGCTATTCTTTTATATGCCTCCTTAGCAATTCGTCCATGTTTCCCCTTTTTGTAGGATTCCTTTTTGATTTTCAGGTCATTAAAGAGCACCTGATTGAGCCATATTGGCCTCTTACTGTTCTTCCTGTCTTTCTTTCAGATCATGATAGTGTGTAGTTCTGCCTTCAATATTATGTCCTTGGGAAATTGCCAGTTCTCCTGAACTTCTTTATCGCTGAGATTTTCTTCCCAGAGGACCTTACCTGCCAGTTCTCTGAGTTCATTGAAGTCTGTTTTTTGAAGTCTGCTATTCTTTGTATTCTGATTCTCCGATTCCTTCCTTTGCTTAGAATCATGAAATCTATCATTTCATGGTCACTTTTACCCAAAGTGCCTTCCACCTTGAAATTCGGAACCAGTTCCTCTCTGTTGGTTAGAATCAAGTCTCAAAAGTCTCCCCCCCGGTTACTTCCTCCATTTTCTGAAAACAAAAATTTGTCCCTGATACATTCCAAGAGCGTATTGGAAATTTCGTGTTTTGCCATATTATTTTTCCAACAGATATCTGTATAGATAATGGCCCCCATTACTATCAGGTCTTGTGTTTTGGCTCTTTCTTTTTGTTCTAGAAAGGCTTCATCCACCTCCTCTTCTTGATTTGGTAGTCTGTAATAGACCCTACCCATGACATCACCCCTATTTTGTTTCCCTTTTTATCTTTACCTAGAGAATTTCAGCTGGTTTGCCTCTCACCTTCTTTTGGACCTCAGAACATGTGTATATATTCAGGGCCATCCCTAGCCATTTTGGTGCCCTACGCAGCCCCCAGCCTCTGCGGGGGGCAGGAGCAGGCTTTGGAGGCAGTGGGAAACCGCCTCCCAGCATGAGCTGGCAGAGTGGAGTGGGTTGGGGCTGGGTCGCTCCACAGGGTCCCTGCACTCATGGGGCGGTGGGAAGTGGAGCGACCCGGCCCCAACCTGCTCCACTCTACTCCCCTGGCTCCCAGCCTTGAGACTGGGGGGGCAAGGGTAAACCGCCCCCCAGCACTCACCGGTGGCGCAGAGGGGGCTGGGGCCAGGTCCGGGTCGCTGCACTTCCCACAGCCAGTGAGTGCAGCCCGACCCTGCTGCAGTCCTCAGGGGGGTGGGGCAGGGCTGGGGCGGAGCAGGGGTGGGGGTGGAGCAGGGGTGCGGGCCGTGGGGAAGAGGCATTGCAGGGGCTGGAGCAGCACGCAGCTGCGTACTTTGTGTATGGGTAGGGACAGCCCTGTATATATATTCTTGATGTATAATGCAACACCTCCTCCCTTCATTCTCTGTCTGGCCTTCCTGAACAGGCTGTACACCTCTATACCAATATTTCCTCTCTCTTGGATCGAAAATACTGCTTGCTCTCTGCTTTGGGATTAGACATTATTCCAGGCTGCTTTAATTGCCCTGTGATTTTTGTTCTCTAGTACAATGTGGGGCTTGATTCCTGCATTCCAGCTGTTGCTTCCTGAGCTGGCATGAGCTGGAGAGAGCGTGCTGACACTCTGACCTTGTCTGCACTGTGGTGTTAGTTTTAATCTCGATCTTCCAAATGTCCCACCTTTGCACTACCACTGCTGCAGCTCCCCCAACATTAGCAAGAGTGGGAGCTCTAACAGAAGCCAGGTACCTCTGACTGGCGGGCTCTAGCACTCCTTCTGGTGGAGCTGTAAGCCTGATACAGCAACGGTGGGATATTTGAGGAACAGTGTGAATAGACTGGAGGGGCATGAGTAGCGCCTCTTCTCCCTGAGCAGCAAGCACTGCGTCGCCTCTAGTCTCTCTCTACTGCAGGAAGTTTGATGAGCCATGGAATCTTGAGGGTAGGCTGGCGGGGGGGGGTACAGAGCCCTGAGAGAGGCAGAAGACCCCCTGAAACAAAAATTGCAAATGGATTTACCAGGAGGATAGAACCTGTTCAGTATTTTAATAATTCTCAGGAACTTCCAGAAGTATCAGTCCCAAACATTGTGGTTAGGCGGAAGCTTTCTACAAATCTTGAGTATATTTTTATGAACAGTTGAACTTTTTTACTTAATCTGACATATCAACAGTTTAAAAATGCTTTCTCTGCTAGTCTCATTTGCTCTGTCTAGTTTTCCTTCTATCTAACTCATTTGTTTTAAAACTTTCTGTTTGTTTTTCTCTCCAGGCCTTTGGTTTATCTTGGTCTCAAAATGTTTGCTCGCTTTGGAATCTGTGAATTCCTAAACTGTTCAGAATCAACTCTGAGGTCGTGGTTACAAGTTATTGAAGCCAACTACCATTCCTCCAACTCCTATCATAATTCTACTCATTCTGCAGATGTCCTGCATGCCACTGCCTATTTCTTATCCAAAGAAAGGGTAAAGGTAAGTTTAGGGTTATAAGAAATACAGTAGAGGTGGAAAATACATGAGTGGTGGGAACATTAGCAGAAATCAACCCTAATAACTGATATATAGGGCCAGGTCTTCAGCTGATGTAAATCAGCATAGCACTTGTGAAGTCAAGGAAGCTATGCTGATTTACACCAGCTGAGGAGCTGACCTGTATTATATTAGATGAGAAATTATGTCTGGTAGTAGTTTCCAGCACCACAGAGCTGGGCTGTACTTGGAAGGAGGTAGAGAGAGCCTTCTTTTAAAAGAAAACCATCCGTTACAGTCACCCCAGCAGTGTGAAAGTCAAATGGGTGAGCAACATTTTCCCATTGGGAATACACTCTCCAATAGGTCTTTAAAATATAAGCCCATTTAAGGCTGCTTTGCACCACACCATCAGAACAAAGCAGCCTTGTTCCCTGTCTGTCCTTTCCCAGGAGGATCACCCCCATCTAGGGGATACCCAAGTGTCATGGAGAAAGCATAGCAGCTCCAACGCCAAACCTGGCCCTTTGCTATTGCGAACATAAGTGGTGTGGCAGCAAAAAAGGAAACATGTCTGGGGTTTCTTTATGCCCTGTGATCATATTGATCCACTGGGGCCTGTGATTGGGTATGTCTGACAGGGTTTGTGTGGGCCTTAGATGAGCCTGGCTGCATGTGGAGGGAAAGCCAGGCTTAACTGAACGTGAAGATCAGCTGGGCAGGAGCTGGTGACTATGAAGCCAGGATGTTCGCAGCAGAAAGGGGCTGTGGAGAGAGAGTCTGCAGTCACTCTCTGGGGGAACAGAAGAGGTAGGCAGCAGTACAAGGAGGCAGCAAGAAGTCTGAGGGAGAAGACCTTGACTTCCAGTTACAGGGTCCCTGGGCTGGAGCCCAGAGTAGAGGGTGGGCCTGGATTCCCCTACTAGCCACTGAATAAGATGAGGTGAAACCTCCTGAAGTAATGGGTGTAAGGACTGTGAAGCCCAGAGACAGGCGGAAGACCTGCTGCAAGGTCACTGGACTGCAGCTGGGTTGGACTCTTTGTTACACCAGAAGGGGTGGACTAAAGTGTAACCTGGCTGGAGGGACAAGTTGCGGGAAGAGAGACCACCACAACGACAGAGCAACTCTCAGCAGGGTGCACCTTACAGGGAGACAGCCGCTGTGCCATGTCCAGCCAGCAGAGGTGCTCCTGCGGTGAGAGAATCCTTTACAAGACCATTGGCTGCTAGTGCAATATTTTAGAACTGCTCTAAAATATACTGGGGGAACAGACTGGCATACAGCTGGCCTGGGATCTGGGGAGTGCAAAGGTAAACTAAAGCCACACTTACATACACATGCCCTGTGGCATTGGGTGCTTCTCTGCCACAGCTTTGGACCAAACTTCCTATCCTGAATTGGTCTCCCTGAGCCTATTGCTAGTGGTGGAAGCTTGCTCAAAGGGACATCATTTGTGATTGTAAACAAATTTCTAACCTCTCCTTAAAGCTGGTGCAGTATTATAACCTGGAGCTGCAGTTCATTAACCTGCTCTCCAGAGGCCAACTCTGAGGCAATATACACCAAGGAGGAGAGAGAATTTCACTGGAAGTTTTCAATCCTCAAGTTGCCAAAGGTTTGGTTGCCTTCCCGTGAATGTCTGTGACAAACAGATGTGATCAGGAATCGTCCCAATGACAAAGAAGTGTGACTGCCCTTCCCTTTTTGAAAAAGTTTTTTATTCATCTGCAGGATGCACAGGAAAAGAAAAATTGTAATAAACAAAAGCAAAGGAGATACTGCATGTATCTGAGCAGTTACAGGCTGCCCAGTTTTGTTAACAGCAATTCAAGCTTAACCTAGTAGAAGAATGCCGGATTCTGACACCCGTACTCACACTGAGTAATATCTTACTCCTTGAATAGACCTATTGAGATCATTGGGACTACATGCCAAGTCATGTGTGAATAAGGGTTGTCACTTTACTGCAGTATTTCTGGGCCAGATTCTTGATTGAGCATTAAGAAAAGTCATATCTGAGCCCCAAAATAATGAAACAGTGTTTGTAGAACTGTGTTTTCATTGGTGTGCAGTAGGGTTTAGCATGATAGAACTAAGATTAGCAATGTGACATCAATGTATGATGGACTGTAAATTCATCCAAAACTGGACAGAGCATAGCGATCTCATCAAACAAAGGGAATAAGCCTGGGACACATTGCTGTTGCCCCATAGTGTCTATAAGGGACAGTACATAGATAAAGAAAGCATCCTGGATTTCCACCTGGACTGTGTCAGCCCTGGCTACACTGTTCTTCTTCTCGCTGTATGTCCAGGTATCATGAAAGAAGTATTGCAAGCAGATGCTGGTTTGTTGATCTGAAATTTTGATAATCCAAATAAAGCTGGAGTTTATAAGCTGTTCCTGATGGCCCCAATGTGGTTGGTTTGTTGGTTTCCATAGGTTGCTGATGCAAGTACTAATTAACCTCTACAATTGGTGTGTGTCGTAGAAGGACCCGTTAACGCTAGCAATGCAAGTGGACCTGCTACAACTGAGGGCTTGTCTATACGGCCCTACAGTGTAAGTTGCAGCTCACACTAGAGTGTTGCGCTGTAACTACCCCTGTAGACCCTGCTAGCACCTAGTTCATGCTAACATAGTCCTGTTTGAAACCGTGTCAATGCAGGGCAGTTTACAGCACAAAACTTTATTGCACACTGCAGCTCTCACTCCTGTAGTCTGCACACCAGGGCCATATAGACAAACCCCAAGTTAACACATGCTTGTGTAGCTGTCAATAGAACCACATTTAATGTAGTGCATATTTCTTTGGGAAATTGTGGCTTTTTTTGTATATTGGTGGATAATTCAATGCATTGCTTTGATGGCTAATTTTTAGGACCAAATCCTGAAGTCTCTATTCAGGCTGAACTTCCATTGAAGTAAGAGAACTGAGTGAATTGTAGATATTCACACTTCCCATAAATGCCCAAAATGGGTCAAAGTGACTGCTGTACCATATGAAAGAGCACAGTGCTGAGAACATGCAGATTTCCTGCTCTCTGCTACTAAAGACCTTCTAAGGCTGAAACAAAAGCTGCACAATTTTAGACATAAAGCACAGTGGATGGTGCATCCCAAGAAGCTTGCAGATGTAAAGAGACCCAAACCCCCCAGCCTTACAATAGGAAAAAGATCAGAACATATTAACTCCAGAAAATTCAGCCCCAGAGCCAGTGAGAAGGATTGAGGCTCCACCAGAAAATAAGGAATGTCTTGCACCTGGGCCATGGGAATGGGCTCAAAGCATCATTGAGAAAGTAATTATCTCCAGTAGTCAAAATTAACAGAGATAACTATTGCACTGCATAGCCTGCCACTTAGTCAGGCTGCTGGCCCGGCCATGGGACTGAGACTTCTCTTAGACAGGAAAGTACATCTTCACTCATCCTGCAGAACCCATCTGCCATAGCTGATTCTGAACTCAGCAAAAATGGGCCTATAGTACATGATTATTTGTTTGTTTGTTTGCCAAAAATGGGCCTGTTTTTTGTCAAAACCGAACTATTTTTGAGCAGCAACAGACCTTTTTCCAGGTCAGAATACTCATTTTTTAGTGAAGGTGGTTTCTGCCATGGCAGAACATGGAATCTCAGTTTTCCAAGTTTGATGCATTTTGTCCAAATTGTGAATAAAGTAAGATCTGGAGGGCACAAAATGTCCAAAAATGAACTTTCCATGGCTTTTTAGAACATCTATCCCTAAGCAATCTGCAGAATCCTGCCTTTTGTCTCTAAGCAGTTCAGTTTAACCTTTAAGGACCAGTGCAGGATTTCTAGTGATTCTTCCAGGAAACCTAAATGTCCCCGGCTTCTCTTTTCAGCAAACTCTGGATCCAATTGATGAGGTTGCTGCTCTCATTGCTGCCACTGTCCATGACGTGGATCACCCAGGAAGAACAAACTCCTTCCTGTGCAATGCGGGGAGTGAACTAGCAATCCTGTACAATGACACCGCGGTGCTAGAGAGCCATCATGCCGCATTGGCTTTCCAGCTCACCACACGGGATGATAAATGCAATATCTTTAAAAACATGGAGAGGTGAGTTGAAAATATGGGACATTTATCAGTCCATTAACCACAATATTCTTATTCTACATATCTTACGGCAACATAAAAAAATGCCAGAGGAAAATCACAGCTTCTGGAGGGTGGAGTTAGCCCCTTGATCGGTTTGCTCATGAAACAATACCGATCTCTCTCATACCGCAGAGAATGCCAAAATCTAAATGATAATGTTGTTGATGATGATTTGTATTGCCACAGAACCTAGGAGCCTTAGGCATGGGCCAAGACCTCACTGTCCTAGGCACTGCCCAAACACAGAACAAGGAGCTTACAATGTCACTCTCAATATGAACACTTTTCGTTGTTTTTATAGCCTTAAAATAAGGGTGAATCTGGTTGCTTGTAAATTGGTGTCAGTGCCCCTTTTAAAAACCCATTTTATGTCATTCTACATCTAGGGTCAAGCAATGGCTGACCTGTGCTCGTAGCTGGGTGGAAAGGGGAGCCCCTTCCCCTCAGCACACCAGACCAGTTGGCAGGTGTAATATGGCTGGCTGATGGCTAAATGTAGAGGCTGCTGCATTTTGGGGTGGGAGCATGGCCATAGCTCCACTCTTCCTACTCATCTAGCTGTGTTAGCAAGAAAGTGATGGGGGAAGCTTGGCTGAAGCAAGACCCTCTGCTAAGTGTGCTGCCAGAACACCATGGGAGGCATGTGCAGACATAGTGTCTCCTGGCAGCGCTGCTGAGGAGTTGGCTTCTCCTCTCCCATCCAGCATGTGCAGCTCTTAGAGAGACAAAACTGTCCCCTATGGTATATAATTCACTGCGCACCACTGTACAAAAGGAATGCATTTGTATAGCACAGATTCAGCTTACCAGCCCCTTCTCTCTGTCTCTCCCTTCCCCTACCCGTCTCTGGTATATTTGCTCTATAGTATTTTTTTCAGAGGGATTCGGTTAGTTTAAGCAAGCAGCCCTTAGTGAATGAGTCCTCATGTCTAATTGTTTCCTTTTTTAAACAGGAATGAATATCGAACCCTACGTCAAGCCATTATTGACATGGTCCTAGCAACAGAAATGACAAAGCACTTTGAGCATGTCAACAAATTTGTCAACAGCATTAATAAACCCTTGGCAGCACTAGAAGAAAATGGGGTAAGTAAAACGACAAATTCTCCTTTAATTAACAGGCAGACAAAAGGGGATTGAGGCACTCGAGCTACTGGTAACAGGATGTACCTAGACCAGAGGTGGGCAAACTACGGCCAGCGGGCCACATCCGGCCTGCGGGACCGTCCTGCCCGGCCCTTGAGCTCCCGGCCGGGGAGGCTAACCCCTGCCCCTCTCCCCCGCAGCCTCGCCTCACCGCACCACGCCACCGGCACTCTGGCCCACCGCTTCTGCCAGGCAGCGCGGCAGCGTGGCTGGCTCCAGCGGGGCTGTGAGCTCCTGCTGCTCTGAGCGGCATGGTAAGAGAGCGGGGGGGGGGGTTGGATAAGGGGCAGGGGGTCCCAGGGGCAGTCAGGGGACGGGGTGGTTGGATGGGGCAAAGGTTCGGGGGGGGGGGGTTGGTCAGGGAACGGGAGCAGGGGGGTTGGATAGACATGGGAGTCCCAGGAGGCCTGTCAGGGGGCAGGGGTGTGGATAGGGGTCGGGGCAGTCAGGGGACAGGGAGCAGGGGGGGTTGGATAGGGGGTGAGGTCCCAAGGGAGTGGTTAGGGGCGGGGGGTCCCGGGAGGGGGCAATCAGGGGACAAGGAGCAGGGGGGTTGGATGGGTCGGGCGTTCTGAGGGGGGCAGTCAGAGGGCAGATAGGGGGCAGGGGCTAGGCTGTTTGGGGAGGCACAGTTTTCCCTACCCAGCCCTACATACATTTTTGCAACCCCGATGTGGCCCTTGGGCCAAAAAGTTTGCCCACCCCTGACCTAGACAGTATGGTGATTGGCCCACTGGAAATACAGAGAGAGTCTTTCACCTCTAAGTCACTGGTCTGAATGCACAAAAGTCTAGCCCAGTCATCACATTTTTTCAGGTTAATGGGACTAATTTGGACATCACTTACACTGCAATATGGTGATGTTTTCTCAGAGCCAGCAGTGTGTTTAAGACCCATTAACGCATCAGAGTGCTTATGGGAAACAGATTTTCTTGTTAAAAAGGGGATGATTCCAGAAAAAGTGAAATGGGTGGTAATCCAAACACCTTTTGGCTACTAACATTTGATGATTGCGTAGTAACCTTTATGACAGCGGTTCTCAGCCAGGGGTCTGTGGCCCCCTGGGGGTCTGCAAGCCCTTTCGGGGGGCCGCAGAGCCCGGCAGCTGAAATCCGGTGCTCTGAGGCCGAGAGCGGCGCAGGGCTGAATCCGGCACCTCCCCTTTCCCCAGCCGGGAGTGGTGTGGGGCTGAAGGCGGACCCCCATCCCCAAGCCCCCAAAGCCAGGAGTGACGTGGGGCTGAAGCCGGCAAACCTCCCTTCCCCAAGCTAGGAGCAGCAGGGGACTGAAGCCGGGACCCCCAGCACCCCCACCTGCCTGCTGAAGGTGGGAGCTACACTGGGAGCCCCCCTGCCTGTACACAGCCCCTAGCTACCCCCTCCCTGCACCCTGAGCCATTTTCAAACTTTTTGAACTGAGTCCCCGCTTTGAGTATTTTTTGGTTGTGTCCCCCCGTAGCCCAGACAGGCTGGGTGGCCTCCTGAGTGAGTCAGGGGGTGTAAGTGGCACTGCTTCCCTGGACCCTGCTGTGCGGAGGTGGCTCGAGCCCCGACAGCCCTTGCCCCGCCCAAAATAGAAGTAAAACTATGCCTATGCCCCAGGATCCCCTTCCACCCCCCCCGGCCTGGAGCCCCTGCTTTATGAGATATAGTGTGGGTCCCCCTCCAGCACCCAGAGGAGATGGCAAGTGTCCCTTCTGGAAAGATGGCAAGTGTCCCATCATCACAGTTGGCAGTGACTGGTATCACTGTTGGCCTTTTCTGCAAAGGGGCCAAGGACCAGGGCCGGATTTCCCATTAGGCACAGTGGGCATGTGCCATGGGGCGCCAGCATTCTAGGGGCACCTAAAATTTCAAATTTTGCTGCTCCCGGGTCCCAGCAGTGGGTGGGGCCTGTTGAGGGGGAGACAGCCCCATGTAGCCCAGCTGAAGTGCTCCTCACTCAGCCCGACGGACAGAGTGGGGCCAATGAGTGCGGCCCGGGGGCATGACTTGGGAGAGTCGGTCTCCGAGGGGGCTTGGCGGGGGGGGACTCCAGGCGGTGAGGGGGTGCGGGGTGCTGGGCAGTGGGGGATCTGTGTGGGGCACTGGGAAGTTGTAGTGGGGCTGTGTGAGGGTGCTGGGCAGTTGGGGTTCTGTGAGCAGCGGAGTACCTAAAAGTTAAAAGTGTCGGGGTACCACCGCTGCCTGCAGCGGTTAGGAGCTCTGAGACGCTGTGGGCAGCAGGGACCCCCAGAGCTCCAAGTTGCTGTGGGCAGCAAGGTAACCCTGCTGCTCCGAGCTGCCGCAGGCGGCGGGGTGGGGCTCTGAGCCCCTGCACCTAGGGGCGCCCAAGGTGTAAATCTGGCCCTGCCAAGGACTGAGTGGGAACAGAGATTGAATTACATTCTTAGAGTTGGATGCTCAGGGTCAGGATGTGAGCCCATTGTGGAGCAGTGTGGGGATGTGTATGCTGAGCTGACCACATGGCACGTGCTCTGTAGATAAAAGACAGCCGTTTTCAGTGCTGTCAGTCTGGCAGCAGTGTTGAGTCTTTTAAAGATTTTTTTTTAAAAGAAAGTGGGCAGAAGATACGATTGTGGCATTGAGTATCATATAGGCACAATCAGTAGCCAACTAGAATCCTGTGGACTCTACAAAATTGCCTGTTAGGAAATCATTCTTTAAAAAACAAAAACAAACAAACCAGTCTGAATAACAGCTGCAGCTAGTCGTTCTGTTGCCAGGGTGTGCGGAGTGCAATTTTGTTGGAATGGTTTTTGCAAAGAGAAGAGTTTCAAAAGCTCTTATATCAAAGTTTATACCCCAACAGCACAGCTGGCAAAGCCCCATTACAGTAGCTGAAATGGTTTTAAACATGTTTTCCTGATGTAGTCAGAGCAGTTTTTATAAAGCCGTAGCTGTGACCTCTGTGCTGAACAGTGGGTGCAGTGCTTCTGTGGCATAAGAGATTAGTCTGCAGAAGAGAAGAATGAGGGGGGATTTGATAGCTGCTTTCAACTACCTGAGAGGTAGTTCCAGAGAGGATGGTTCTAGACTATTCTCAGTGGTGGAAGAGGACAGGACAAGGAGTAATGGTCTCAAGTTGCAGTGGGGGAGGTTTAGGTTGGATATTAGGAAAAACTTTTTCACTAGGAGGGTGGTGAAACACTGGAATGCGTTGCCTAGGGAGGTGGTGGAATCTCCTTCCTTAGAAGTTTTTAAGGTCAGGCTTGACAAAGCCTTGGCTGGGATGATTTAATTGGGGATGGGTCCTGCTTTTGAGCAGGGGGTTGGACTAGATGACCTCCTGAGGTCCCTTCCAACCCTGATATTCTATGATTAGGGGAGACACAGGTCTGGTATTCACCCATATGCTATCTGTACAGTCATGCTCTCTCTCAAGGTATTTGGAGCAAGGGGGAAGAGAGCAAGCTTTGTCGTGTGGGAGTTAGCTCTGCTCTTGGCATCCTAATGATGCAAATGGAACTGGGTGAATTTTTAGTGTGAAGCCAAAGTCTCTGTAGTATACTGCTGTCCTGAATAAAGCAGGAGAAATGCTGGTAAATCGGTATTATTCCCAGCCAGCTTACTCCGATCAATGGTGGGCTTGATCCGTTTCCCACTGAAGTCATAGAAAGACACCTAGTGATTTCAGTGGGCATTGGATCAGGCCTTATGTACTTAACAAGTTGACTGTCCATGAGCCATGTGTATCAAGATGCCTGTCTCCTGCTACCAGACCCAAGAAAAGAACAAAACTAGCTCACAGATGTATCTCAAGGGGGCCAAGTTCACATAATTTTGTGTATTTAGTTTGATCATTTCAGTAACTAAATATTTTGTAATATGGCTGCTTCTATAGATATATCACACACACAAACTGCATTAGAAGAACATTATTAAGGTTGCAAAGTCAAGCATTCAAAAGTTAAGAACTACCAGAATGCCATGACATGTACAACCTGAATTCACACATGCGACCCTTTTACGCTGTGATATGGTCTTTATTTACATAATCACATACTGGTGGGCTTTTTTCATCCAATTAGTGTTCCTCCACCACCTGGCTCCTGGTCCTAGCCTCTTTGCCCAGCCAGTCTCAATTCTTCCCTCACCCCGCATCCTGTCTCCTCATAAGATTTATCTTCCCTCGCTGCTCACTTCTTTTCACTCCATCACTGGTTCTCAGTCCCAGTTTCCTTGCCCAACCAGTTCCAATCTCCTCTGCCCTACCGTAGCTCCCAGTCCAATCGCCTTGTTCAGCGAGTCCCAGTCTCCCCCATAAACTCCCTGTCCCAGTTTCCCTCTCCCTCAACCTGCAGTCCCAAGCATAAACACCCTGGATCTTGTCCAAGCATAACCTGCCTACCCCATCCCAGACCTGGCTCTTGTCCACTCTGCATTTAAATCATGCAGCTTTCTCCTCTGCACGGCCCAGCAGGGGTGAGGAGTTGGGGTGTCATTGATAGCAGGGGAGAGGCAGGCTCCCTGCTGTCAGCTCTGGACTTGGACTTGGCATGGCCCAGAGCAGCCAGGAACTTCAATTACAAGGAAAGACCTGCTCAGCCCTAGGCTGGAGCAAGATCAGCGTAGACGGAGTCTGTGAGGAATTAAGCTGTGAAGCTCTAGCAAGTCTCTACTGAGCTTGTGTGAACAGTGATTTTTTTCAAATGCTTACAACTTGGCCAAATTTGGGCGGATTTTCACAGGGATGGCAAAGGCATATCCTTGACTCAAAGGCCACCTCTTGCCAAATTTCAAATCCCTGCTCCAAAGCATGGGGGAACTAGAGCTTCTCAAAGAAAAGGTTGCCAGAATTTTTGAATACTGGCAAAACCAACATTTTTTTCCTTTACCTTGTTTTTAGAAATGGCTGGAATTTTCCAAAACATTTCAGCCTGAACTATACACCAGCTAGGAAATATTTCAGACCAAACGATTAAAGTTTGGCAAAGTTACAAGCAACTGAAAACACAGGGTCTTATAATAGATAGCGTCAGGCAATCTTAATAATGGGCAGCAGTACCAGCCCAGGCTAAAATTATATCTTTAAACTATCAAACAGTCTCTCTTCCATTTTGCCCTTTTTGTAATTTATTTAGTAATTTATGTTTTGCACAGTGTTTTTTATCAGAACTTATATTTTACTTAGGAACTGTGGTAAGAAATAATCAAACTCTCTTTAATTGTTTTTATTTGGAAAATGCTGATAGATACTTTAATAGACATATATGGCCAGTAAAACCGATAGAGAATTTTTAGGCTAAAACCCAATCTATTCAATTCCAGGAATTTAATGAACATGAAAAAATAACTTCCATAGACTTTATGGCCAGAAGGGACCATCGTGATCATCTAGTCTTAGTTCTTGCACATTGCAGGCCAGAGAAACTTGCCCACCCACTCCTGTAATATACCCAGATCCTCTGGCAGAGTTACAGAAGTCAAAACTTTTGATAAAAGAAGCATCAAGCTGCAAAACACACTTCTGCAAATTGTTGTACAGCACAGACTAGATACTGAATATTATTTTGTTCCTCCAATAAAGGGATTATTAACATGTTTTGGGTAATTGCGGAGTATTTTTGGATAATAAAGGTAATTATAAGTAGTGCTTGGAACATAGGATCCTTTTGACACTATAAATAAAAAGATAAAGAATTTTTAAAATAATAACACAACCCCCAAGTGGATGTTAAATAAACACCTGTGAAATATAAGCCAGGCCCTTTATCTGTTAGGCTACACAATGTCCAGGTGTTATATTAGCTTAGCATCCACGAATGCAACAGAAATGTAATGAGGTTAAGGGCTAGTCTGAGGTTTTCAAGCTGCTCTGAGAAAGGAAAGTGTAGCGCACAGCTGCACGGTCCCGGTAGCAGAGCAGAGTACGAACGGACTCGACAGTCACAATTCCTCCCAGGCTGCTGCTCCTTTGCTCTGAGGAGGAGTAAAGTACTTCACACCTCTGCGTGGAGCAGCTTATTCCTTCCTGTGAGCCTCGCCCAGCAGCAAGGAGGGCAGAGCTAGGGCTCCACTTCACTCACCGCTTCTGCAGCGACAGTCACAGTCTGAGCTGGGAAGAAAGTTGTCTGGGTGGGGGGAAGGGGCTTACAATATCACACACCTCTGTGAGATCAAATGGCAGCAGTGACAAGCCCCACACACATACAGGTTAGACTGAAGTCAAACCAAGTCTAAATGCTGCCCTAGCTTACATCCTGTGCAGCCTCATTGATTTCAGGGGCAAAACCTGTGCCAAAGGGTCTGGTCTCATTCCTAGCAGTTTGACCTGCATGCACATTTTCTGGAGAAAAATAGGGCTTAATCAGCTGTTTTACTTAAATAATCAAATCAAAGTGTTTCCCTCATTCAAGCTGTGCATTTCTCCATCCTGCAGACTCCTGTAAAAACATTTGCGATGTTTGAGTGGGTAAAACCACTCATGTGCAGGGCTTGTTATTGGCAGGACACTACACTCCAGCAGATCTTCCCTTGAGTTTGGTCCTGTATTTGGTAGCAATGGCAGCGTGATTCTCTGAGCTTGGCTTTGGATCACAGCTGTGACTCAAGGGAATGTTTGTTGGCGAGCTGCCAACTGTTTGTTCCATATGGGACAGTTCCCCTTTTGTAGTCCTTTCTGTACGTGTTTGTTCAATGGGCCATGATGAGAACTTGTTAGGTTTGCTCCCTGTCTTCTTTTGTGTCATAAACTGACAAAATCCATCTCAGCTCCAGCATCCTTTATCCTCCTATTTCCCTTTATGATGTCACTTAAGCTTGTGACAGGAAGCCTAGATCTGGCCTGCAGAGACACCTCTGTTCTCTCAGCAGGACGCTGGAACTGAGCTCTGTTAGCAGAATCTATTCCCAAGACAGCCGCATCCTCTGAGTAGAACCATAGCTTTGGTTTGGACAGGTTCCAGATCATAGAAGCAAAAATCCTTTCTCAGCTCCTGGAGATGTACCTATTGATCTCTGCTGTCATTTACTGAATGATCTCTAATCGTTTTCAGGAGTTAAAAGCACCAGTGTCTAATTTTTTTAAAAGCACCAGTGTCTAATTTGGTTTTGTTGTGGTTTATCAGTGTGGCCCTGCAGGAAGAACTTTCTTCCCTGTAATTAACAATGTGCACTAGTAAAAGATCAGAACAGTGGGAAATTCAGATTTCACCCTGGCTGATCTCAACATGGTGTTTACTTTTGTGCAATGGAGTGTGGAATTCTGCCTAGTTGGTACCTCTTGTACAAATAGATGTAGGAGCTGGCTGAATTATTAGTGTTTAATTGTCACGATTACCATAATGCTAGAAGCCCCAGGAGTGGACCAGAACCCCATTGTGCTAGGCACTGTGCAAACATAGAAAAAAACAGAGAGCTTACAATCAAAATATAAGGTAAGATATAACAGATGGATGCAGATAGACAGAGAAGTAGAAGGAAACAATGTTGGTCAACATGATAGGCTATCGTCTTAGCACACTAGCAGCCTAGCCATTGTCAAGTATTTTGTAGGCATCTCAGCAAAGGAGAGAATTAAAGAGGGATGTGAAGGAAGATGTGCTACCATGCTTCACATTTGCATTCCTCACAAAGGGCCTCATCCAACTCCAGCTGAAGTCAATGGCAGTTTTTCCACTCACTTCAGCAGGGGTTGGAGTGGGCCCAAAGTAGAGTTAGATCAGTGAAGGAACAGCTGAAGTGACTACTCCATATGCAGCAGCCACACTTTGTGTTTAAAGATCAATGGAGATCAAATGAGGGCAAGGTACAAAATTAGGAAAACAGAACAAAAGCTTGTTTCTTGGGAGACATGGTGGACAAGTGAATCTGACTCTGGCCTAGGACCTATGATAACTTGGTTCTATTCCCAGTTCTGCTGTGTCACCTTGGGCAAGTCACTTCACCTTTCTGAGCCTTAATTTCCCCAGCTATCAATGGGAAATACTGTGACGTCCCTTCCTTTGTGAAGCACTTGGAGATTTATGCATGGGAAGTGATAGCTAAACATTATTATTATTATTGATGGCACGACATTTTAATCCATTATCCGCAGCTAACCCAGGGTACGTCTACACTGCAAAAAATAAAAAAGACCCACAACGGTGAGTCTCAGAACCTGAGTTAACTGACATGGGCTAGCGTTACAGGGCTAAACATTGCAATGTAGACGTTTGGGCTCCAGACAAAGCCTGAAGGTCTACACTGCTATTTTTAGCCCAGCAGTGCCAGCCCAAGTCAGTTGACCTGGGCTCTGAGATTCACTGCTGCGAGTATTTTTTTTTTTTTTTTGCAGTGTAGACTTACCACCAGGCAACAGCTCAAGCTATGCTGTGCTCTTTTAGGTGGATTTTTAGGCATCTCAGCCTTGATACCCTACTCCTAGAAACAATTTTAATCAGAGCTCCACAGTAAAGGTAGCTTCAGCCCCAGCTCATAAAAGGCCGAACCAGTCTTGCAGCTGTCAATTGTGTGAACTGTCCCACAGGACAGAAACATACATAGTGCAGGCTATGCACATATTCCAAGCAAGTGTCCCTTAGCCACTCTCGCCATAACTGCAGGGTAGGAAAAAGCTAATCAAAAGCAGCATTTCTTAATTAATTTATCTGATAGCGATGAAATCAAAAAGCAGATAATTTGCATTATTGGCCAAGCAAGCCAGGGACTGGAGGGCTGACTGGAGGGAGGCGGAAGGTGCATGGGATGGGAAGTGGGAGCTGGCCCCTGGGCTCAGTACTGCTGTCACCGTAGTTTGTACTCATGATAATGAGACCTGCTAGCACTGAACCCGGGCATGCATCTAATCCTCGCCTTTTCCTAAACAGTTGGTTGCTCCACTGCTAACATGTAACTCTGTGTGTTTTTGTGGAGGTTTTTTCAATTATCATCTTAATCCTGCAATGGAAAATGATATACATCTGTCTATGTAGTTACATGGCCTTTGTACTATCTGCACATTAATGAATTTATCCTCACAGCACTCCTGAGATGGGACTGGAGCCACAGAGAGACTCAGTGACTTATCCAAGCTCACATACTAGGTCTGTGACAGTGCCAGGAATGGAACCTAGAGCTCCAGAGTCCCAGTCCAGTGCCTTAACCACCCAACCATCCTTCCTCTTGATTTGATGCATTTGAGCACCCGGAATTGTCTTCAGTGAAGCATGAAAGGAATGCAGGACTGGGTCCCTGTGGTATACGCTGGAAACATTCCTGAAGTAGAAAATGTTTTAATGTCTGTTTACAGAAAATGCTGATTTGTTGTTTTTAATTTTGAAATGTTGCAGAGTAATAATGGTGATGGAGATTCAGTCAAAAACGTTCTCACGTCTCCTGAAAATCGCATACTTATCAAACGTATGTTGATAAAGTGCGCTGACATTTCCAATCCATGCAGACCTCTAGAGCAGTGCATTGAGTGGGCTGGTCGCATCTCTGAGGAGTACTTTGCACAGGTAAGATAGCTGGAGAAGGCTAGAAATTCTACCTGAGCACTTCTTTTGATAGGATGGGAGGAATCAGTAAACTGACTCTACTTATATCCAAACAAGATCTTAAGGCTACACTATTAATTTGTTTATATTTTATATTAGTTGCTCACCAATATACATTAACGCAGGGCCCCATATCTGTGAACATATGGAAGCTGACTGCACTGCAGTATAATCTGAAAAAAATTAAGTTTCTAGATTCTTCAATTTGCAATTTGTTTTGCCTAAAAATGCACTCCATTCGTGGCTTGTGGAGGAAAAGGGCCTTATGCGGGGCTCTATCTCATGGATGTTATGATAGAGTACAAGTGTTAGTGAGGGAGCACATAAGGAGACAGCAAGGAATAAAGTCATGTTGGAGCAAGCCCTTAGGAGGCTGAGGTTTTGGTGGGGATTGTCTGGTCTTCTGTCATTACAGAATTGAGGCCTGTGTTCCTCAGAAGTAAAAGAAATGTTTTGTAAGATATTTTCCTGCCTTATGGTAAGTTTGAAACTCCATTTCTGGTGGAGACTGGCAATTATGGAGCATCTTTGGCTCCAAAACAGTCATAGTTTTAAAAAAAAGTTTCAAAGTGCCACAAAACTAGCTTTGTGTATAGATCTGGAAGGTGGTAACTGTGTCACTTTGTGGGAGCCAATAGGAGGCATTGTTCAGTGTTCTGTTGCTCCTGAACATATACGTGGTTAGACTGAGTCTGTTCATACGATGCTACTCCTTTTATTAAGCAGCTGCATGCACTAGTTGGTGGCCAGCAGTCTGCTGCTAGCAGGAGTTCACTTGTATAACTTGTCAGCCAAATAATCACAAAATCTTTTCTTTGCAGACTGATGAAGAAAAAAGACAGAGTTTACCTGTGGTGATGCCTGTTTTTGACAGAAATACTTGTAGCATCCCCAAATCCCAAATATCCTTCATTGATTACTTCATCACAGATATGTTTGATGCTTGGGATGGTAAGCAAGCTTCTACAATATATTTTGTATCATAAGCCTTTGAGAGTACTATGAGATAAAACTGCTGCATTGTGACTCCAATGGAAAAAAAATATGGAAATTTGCTACATTTCAAGTAAACCCAATAGCTTAATTAATGCTAACATGTATTTTGACATTGCTATGAATAATTCTTATGACTTCATTTAATAGGTGAACTTCAGGCAAAATTTAGTTTCTTCTCAGTTATTAAATGGCTAGCTTGCTTTCCATAAAGGAACAGGGCATGTTAAGTGAGCTCACTTTGTTACCACACTATGCATATTCACCTGACCCACATATTTTTTTGAATTATTTTTAACAATTTTCTAATGCTTGAAAATGCTATAGAAAAAACAGGTTGAATTCCTTTTGAGAACTGCTTACAGTATATCAACCATTTCTTCTCCATTGCTGTCATTAGTGATTAAAAGTAGTCAGAATTATGACACACTCAGGGCATGTCTACACTTACCTCCGGAGCGATCGATCCAGCAGGGGTCAATTTATCGCGACTAGTGAAGACACGATAAATCAACTGCCGAGCGCTCTCCCGTTGACTCCAGTACCCCACCGGAGCGAGAGGCGCAGATGGAATCAACGGGGGAGCGTCAGCAGTCAACTTACCACAGTGAAGACACCGTGGTAAGTAGATCTAAGTACTTCGACTTCAGCTACGTTATTCATGTAGCTGAAATTGCGTAACTTAGATCGATTCCCCCTTCCCCCCCAGCGTAGATCGGGCCTCATAAATGGCAAATCAGCTGTGCATGTAACTGGAATTTTATTAAGCATAATAGTTACAGTCACAGTAACTATGTCCTTGATAGAAAATTGGTGCTTTCCTGATTGCAATACAATTGCTAAATATACTTATAGTATTGTTGTAACTCTCCTGGGAAGATGCAGAAGTAATGATGAGAACTGTAAGACAAGAACCATTTCAATATCAATGTAACAGATTTAAACCATCCCACTTAATACAGTTCCTCACATATTTCAAATTATATTTAAGCAAGTAGAATCATGGAACCATTTCAGTTCTGCTGGCTGACTACATTGTGTCTTTTCTTTCCTAGCATTTGCAGACCTACCAAATTTGCTGCAGCATCTGGACAATAACTTTAAATACTGGAAAGGTCTAGATGACAAAAAGCTACGGAGTGTTCGACCACCACCTGAAGAGCAATTAGACCACAGAGTGTAACTTACCTGTCCAGATGCATATTTACTCAAGCTCACTTTTGTTCATGTGATTTCAAATTAGTTTTGATCCCTTCAGTATTACAGTAAGGCTAACCCATGTGCTTATGGACCTTTCACATTCAAGAGAACATGAGGTCAGCAGCTGACTCCTGCAAACTGCCGTGTATGGACTCAAATGAAATGAACTTATCAAGCTGAATTACACTGGATTGCTGCAGTACCTGTACTGAAGAGGGTCTACTAGTGAACATATTTTTGCATTATCTTCATACCAGTACGTGAAGCTTGAAGATATCCTCATGAAAAGGGGTGTCCTATAGAAGATTTTGCTTAGTCCTCAAATCTGCAAGTGAAGAAGTATCTGTTAATAGTGACTCACAGCTTTTATGAGAAAGCTCCATGCTTTTTATAAGCACTTAAGAACAGTTACATATACCAGTCGGACATTTAAAATGCAACTCTTCATGAAGGAGTTTTTGATCTATGAAAAATAGATGTACTCTATTTTTTCACATCACAGAAGGTGCAATCATTCACTTCTGAGCACTACTGAAAGTGAGTTCTCTTAAAGAAATTTAGTAGCAAATGTAAAAAATAACACAAGAATTTTTGAAGTTGATCGTTAGCATCTATTATTAAAATATGTTTTATTTATTTTGTTAGATGTTCAATATTTTCTATGAATTTATAAATACTTAAAAGCCAAAGCCAACTTTAGATGCATTACAAATTTACATGATTCATACTCATCAATATACATTTAATTGATGTACAGACCTTTTATTTTCATAATTCAAATACAAAATACTATACAATGACACATTTTTATTGCACTGTAAGGATAGATGTGTATGTTTAAATATTGTCTGATTTTATGTTAATTAAAATAAGTTTTATTAAAAGGTCTCACTGGAGAGTAGTAAAATAAACAAGAAATGCATACTGTATAAGCACCAGAACTCCAGCAGTTCTCTCTCACTCCCTACTAGTGACCACAAGATCTTCCCAAAGTTGCTATTCTTGGTAAAATAATAATAATAATAATAATAATAATAAGTTGGGATGTTAATTTTTTTTCTTCCCTGTAATTTTCTAATTAAAATCCCTATCAAAAGTCTGCCTTATTTTATACAGTATTTCTACAAAGCATTCCACAGCATAGATGAGGGGGGTAAAACTAAATATTTAATGAATTTAAACCTTTTATAGCCAATATATTTTCCTCTGCGGTGAAAAAAAAACCCAAAACTTTAACTCCAGAAGTTTGTAAAGGTTGTATACCTTCACCATTTGAATGAAACATTCACAGCAAACACCAGAAAATAATAAAATGTATATTTTAAGAAGTGTCAAAGTTCTAGCAATTTTATTTGAAATATTTTCTTTCTTTCTTTCTTTCTTTTTAATTTGCACACTATCAGGTAGATATGTGAAACTAAACAATTTCTTTTAAAAGTATCACTTGCTGGGTTTGGGGGGGCGTGTTTTGTTTTGTTTTTGGCTTGCCATCTAGAGTCAGAATTTGCCATCGAGAACTGTGTGACTGAGCTGTGCCCATCACAGCTTTCTGAGAACACATGTTGTGCACATCAGTTGCTCTGTCCCTGCAGAGGACGGATTGTCCCCTCTGCTGGGTGCTCACTTGGGCAATAGAAGATCCAGGTTCAATTCTGCTCAGGTTTGGTTCGAGTGGCTGAAGGTGACAAGGTGCTGTCTGTTGGGATGCTATGAGCAATAGTGTGGATATTATCGGTGAAAGCAGGGGTGAGGTGTTGCATATGCCATGGAGAAAGGAGATAGCAGGAGTTGCAGCAATTTATGCCCAGGCAGACAGCCAAGCTTTGGTACCGGAGGCTGTGACTTACATCAATACAGTCTGCAGTGGGCACGTAGCCCAAACCAGAAATGCTTGGTGTACATGTGTTCAGTCTGCGGGCGAGGGTGGCGGGGTGCCTTTTGATCCTGATGCCGGATATAGGATATATTGCTAATTGGCTATTGCTGTTGATGGTTGGTTTAAGATGCTGTAGTTGTCTATTTCAGGTGAGGAAGGGTAAGAGGTGGGTAGAATTGGCCTGGAACACTCCGTTAGCAGGTGTTCATTTGGCAGGCAAGAGTTAATCAGGTTCTGCTGACTGAGGCAGCTCCTACCCTGCCTGAGGTAATGGAGGCAGGAGTGGTGCTGGAGAGCGTGGGCTGAGCAGTCCTGAGGGTGGCATCCTGGGAGCAGCCAGCCCTGAGAGGGAGGGGTTTGAGCTGAATTTTGTTATGTTATTGGTGACTTTGTGTTTTAGTTACTACAGTCACTGCCCAGGGAGGGGGTGAGATTTGACCCTGCCCACAGTGTGGGTGGACTCTATTTTGGAACAGGTTGGGAAAGGCTCCTGTTCACATATGCTTTTGAGGTGGGATATTTTGAGCTGCAGAGAAGTATAAAGGAGGGATCTGGCTCACTGCTCCAACCACATCACGCACCCATTTGTATGTTGCTGCTGCTCCCCCCTACCCCCCCCCCCCAAATCAAACACAAGTTCCTGGTCTTTGCCTTTAAGGCCCTTTGCCAGCTAGCTCCATCCTACCTAAGACATATTAACTTATCGAGCCATTGTCCTTGATGGCCCACATTCTCCTGTGCCATCCCACATGCATGAGGAAAACTCCCATCAACATTCATAGTGCCTCCACCTTGTTCTTTGTTAAATTCCACCTTAAAACCTGCCTTTGCTGTGATGCCTACAGGTCACTACCCTCAGGCACTGGCTAGGCCAGGGAAGAGCTGTGACTTCTGCTTTGCTGCTAAACTCTGCATCATTGTCACATCTTCCTCCCAGCCTACCCCTGCCTATGTGTGTTGTCCACCCATTGCATGTGTAGATTGTGAGCTGTCTGGTGCAGGGATTGTCTTCTTTGTTATATGCTTGTACAGTGCCTAGTACCAGGAGGGCCCTGAATCTTGACTGGGGTTCCTAGATGCTAATAATTATAGTGTTGAGTGATTCCGGTCCTGGTAAAACTTGCTGATGATTCCAGTTTAAGGGACAGGGATGCTTCCTGCAGAGGGATCAGGAGTTGTGCCTCTTATTATTGTCAGGAACCAAGACATCTGCAACCCCATTCATCATCTACTTTTGCATAGAAGGCCTGGAAGAGAAGGCGGCCATTCAGCTGCCAGATGACTTGTTTTCCTGGTAATATTGTGTCTTTTTTTTTCATATAAAGGTTTCTTTTGATTCTGTTGTGGTTTGTTCACGGCCCTCCCATTACATAGGGGCTCATGTGGGTGATTCAGCAAAAAGGTTCATGCTGACTACATGAGCAAAAAGATTGATAATGGCTTCATCAGATCGTCTGCAGTGGAAAGCATACGATGTGGAGGGAGTAATTGCAGTGTTATAACAAGAACAACACCTGGGTCAACAGCATCTTAACATCTAAGGGTCAGTATTTCTTCATAAGCATAGTTAAGGCACTGAGTTGTATTAACGTTTGGTAAAAATGATTAATTTGCTTTCCTGTTATAAATGTATGAGGCATCATCACTGAAATGATCTGATCAATACATTTAATTCCCTGAAATTCACACTGAGTCATTAACACCATTACCATCGTGCATGGAGCCATGCTAACCAGCCTACCGGACCAGACAGATTTACAGCCATACTGATGTACAATAATTTAATCTGATATAAAACAATCCTTCACAATCACCTAATTTGCAGCCACTGAATGCAGGTCTGTTCCTGCCTTTTCCCATCTAAGACTTACTGTCACCAGGAGTAGGTTACAGCTAAATGTGACCCACAGCCACCACTGTGTCTGACCCCTCCCCTAAAACATCTTCCCACCCCAGGCACCCACTGAATATAGTCTCCTTTCCTCGCCAGCCTGGCAGTTCACGCCTTCTCTCCGTCAACCGCAAGATTCTCTTTCACTCTGTTTCTGCAGTACCCACTCCTCTTTCCTCCCTAGCCCTACAGCCATCTCAGTCCTAAAGACCAGATGTCGAAAGCTTCCTTCAGTGCAGGGGGATGCAGCTAGAATGCTATTGCACTCCAGCAATCCCCAGCTTCTGGAGTGATCTCTTGGAGCCATATAAAGCTCAGCAAAACTTAATGCCGTCCTGAGGCTGCTCTAAAGTTGTGCCAGGAGCCCCAGGATCAAAGAGATGCGAAGATAGCACAAAGCTGCATTTATCCGCCACGTCCCACACCTCCTTTCAGAACTTGTGGCAAGCACAACTCAGCCAGACCCAAGAATCGGGGCCTATGAATTGAGACTATTTCTATCTTTCAGCCCATTGCTGCCAGCTCTCTGCCCCTTCCCTCTTCAACCTCCACCCAGGGATTTTCTCCCTTGTCTGCAGCTAAGTGATCAGGAAAGCCCAAGATCAGAGATGGGGCCCTTAGTTGTATTAGAAAAGAATAGATGATCCTAACTGATTCTATTGCAGTTTTGTGAATGCAGGGCAGAAGATAGCGATTGGTTAGCTCTGGAGGGGCACAGAGGAAGGTGTTGTTAGGTTTTTTTGTTTAATAAAAAAACCTGGATTCAGAAGGGGCCACGGGGCCAATTTTATTTTAATTTTTAAAAGAGTTGGGGTAAAATCAGCATCTTCCTAGTCTCAGCCTCTGTCTTTTTGGCATCTCCTTGTAGTGCTTCACTTTTCCCACTATCTCCATTTCTTTCTGGTTCTGCAGTTTAAGCCACACAATGCCAAACTCCTTTCACAAAGGGAAAAAACAATTAAATCCAGACAACTTTAACTTCAGTTCCACTCAAACAAACAGTACGTTCCTATCAGAAAACCAAAGACAAACCTACTGTCCCATAAGCCTCTGCATCCAGGGACAAACTTTCACAGAAAAGACTTCTGAGAGTTACATCATGTGTTTGCTGCTGGGGAAGCAGGTTGAGGCTCAGAGGGATGTGTGAAACATACATTGTGTAAAGCGCTTTCTGACAAATGTCTGTGTCTTATTCCTTATTGGAAGAAAAAGACGGGATTTTGTGCTGGGGAGACTCCAGGCTGACATGCAGTTGGAAGTCCTCCATGTGAAATCTCCAGCGGGTGATAACTTCCAGTCACACTCAACTGGTCTAGAACTAGTGACCTACAGGTGAAAAGCTCTGCATCCCAATGCCAGTTCCTGAGCCATCCAGTTGCCCCTTTCTTTTGTGGATTTCCCAGATTATACAACGTCATTGCAAACTCCCTGGCTTCTGGACACCTTTTCGGCTGTGACGCCACCATTCTCTTTCCTGAGTACTTTGCCATTGATGCTTGCACTGATGCTTCTCCACTGGTGGCAGGAAAGATGCTGGTGTGGCAAGGCTCCAGCTGACTGTTGGTGTTTTTATCTGCCACGGGCATGTATCTACATTGGAATAAATTCAAGAACTTGTTTGAAATTATTCCCAACTATGGCTAGGCCTGCTCTGAGCAAGTTTAAATAATGCAGAGTCTGTCTACATTGAATTTTTATCCATGGTTTAGCACATGTTAATAAACACAACTAAATGTTAATGTAGACAGAACAATGAAGGGTTCTTTTTATATCTTCAGGGTTTCATGTCTTTAAACAGGATGCAGCACAAAAATTCAGTGAATAACTCACCCCTTAAGAATGATTTGCTCAGCTTGCAGGATGCAGCTTTCCAGTCTAACAACACAGCTGCTTACGCCTGTGTTAACTTTGACGAGCCACTTAAGATACCTGAGGATAATAAGGCAGAACAGGAGAAACTATTATGATCTTCCATCTTACGTAGCAAAAATATTGTATCCATCAATGAGCCAGCCTAGAGGAAAATCTCAGACTTATCAGTAGACAGATGTAGTACGGTGAGAAGTAAATTTGTTTCTTACAACAAAAGAAACAAGGCAGAAGCTGTCCAACCAAACTCTTCATTATGGACAAAACAGTCCTTTGTGCAACAATTTTTCAGTGGTTGAACATAAAATAAAAATCACCTGAAATGGAATGGATGCCTGGTTTTGCTCCATTGCCTTTCTGTGTATGTTCTACTTGTCTTAATAGACATCAGTGTTACTACGTTCGGGGAGACGTAGCGTGAGCAAGAAGGAATTCAAGCAAAAATGATGCTGCTCTTCTATAAGAAAAAGTTAATTATTATGTTTTCTTCTATCTACTAATCCACCAATGCATTTGGGGGGGGGGGGGGTGGCAGAGAAAGAAATCTGCAAGAGAATCTGCAGCCAGTCATGCTCTTCTTTTGAGGGTCGGAGGGTTTGATTCATTCTGTGAGGTGCACTGTGAAACAAAGTCTCAGAGCTAGTGACAAACTGAAAACAAATAATCTCTTTGCTGATGTGTGACATCATGCC